ATGCCGAGCCTTTTCAAATCTTCATGAGGGATCGGCCGCCTGTTATTTATGAAGATAACAGAAAAAGAGTTACTTCCATCTTTTACAATTAGAAGCATATGACTCATTATGTATCACCAAAAGGCTCATAGACATGTATGGTATCAGTGGCTTGGGTTTATTTTACTTGTACACCACTAGATGGGAAAGCAATGTAAGAACAATGACCATCATCCATTATGTGGAAATTCAGAACGTACAATGGAGCACGGAATGGTCTCTCTCGTCCCCCAAAACGAAGCTGTCCAGATTCTTTCCGACCACCAAGCCCACCTCCTGCCCCGACCAAAAACATATATATAAGGGTTACAGAAATAGTCTCTAGTGGTATCTATCTTAGAGAAAAAGAATAACAGACCTAATCTTCTCGGTATCCAGCCAGGCATCAATTGCTGCCTATTAAAATCGACCATAATCTCACGGTCATCGATAAAAGTATGATGAGCTCCCTGTAAAACACCAGAATCTTTCCATTACACTAAACAAATTGACTCACTAATCTATCTTTGCCATGGACAAGTCACCCTTTTTTCCCAAAGCACCATTCATAGAGATGCCACAAATGCATTATACAAAAATCGTTTCTACAGGACATATTATGGCACAGAATCCAGACTCCAGTCTCCCGTGCATAACAAACGCTTCTGACATATTTAAAGATAAATCGACAAAGACAGAGCGAGTGGACAATTTGCTTTCGACAATTGACATCATGTAAATCTTACATCTTTGGTAAAAGAAATGAAATTTAGCATCCTACTGATGATGATAATAACATGCAAAATTAGGAGTGAAACAAGCACAGCACCTCATATGCCCGGCACATCTCCCTCTCAGTTTCATACTCCACAAAAGCATATCCCCGTGAAGCACCCGTTACTGAAAAAGAAAAGAGTCAAGGAGGAAATACAAAGAAGAAAAACCAAAAAACAATGAAGCAATACCTTAATGAACATACAAACAAACAAAGAAGGATAAATCATAAGGAACCATTGGTGGTAAACAGTGAGGAAGTACACAACAGAAACACTCGAGACAACTCTGAAAACGACAGCTCTTCTAAGACATATCTCTTGCCATTATACATCATATATGCAACAAACCAACATAGAGAAGATTTTAACTTTATATAAAGATAGAAGAAATTCAAAGTTATACCATTAGAAGATGAAATTGAAGAGCTTACCAATGTGCCTGACCAGGCGTAAGCTCTTTATCCGACCATACTTACTCATAGCCTGAAGCGAAGAACAACCCATGAGCGACATAAGTACTGGTTCAATCAAGCATCCGGAAGTACGAAAATTAACCAAGCAAAAACAAAGTAAGCCCAAGATTGTAGTCAAATTCCTTCGCTCTCTCAGCTACCAAACACGACAACCCAACTCAACACCATCGCATACCTCTCGAAGAGTGTCCTCCGTGGTAAGGTGAGAGAGGCGACCCACGAAGAGGGTGCAGTAAGGATCGCTGGCGGCCTTAGGGTCACCAAAAGGATCATCTTTAAACGAAAACGAAGAAACCCAGGTCAATCAATTCCATCCAAACACGACTCGAACGGGGAGAGAGAGAGAGAGAGAGAGAGAGATACAGAGGCCGGCATTGTAACAGAGCAGAGCACGTCGAACAGCGTCGTCGTGGGGAACAACATCAGTGCCGTCGATGCTTCCAGCCTGAATCGGGTGATACGAAGTTGCGTAGAACACCTTGTTTACCACGTTGGTCCCGCCACCGCTCATCGTTTTCCTCTCGCCTCCGTCTCCGGCGTCTGTTGAAGAGAAAGGATTGATCCAACATAAAAACGGTGTCGTTTGTTAACCTGCTTCTTCTACAGGCCTAATTGGGCCCTATACTAGGCCCAATAGATCCCATTAACGGATAACCCCCGCATGGATATATTTTAATTACTATATATAAAAATAAATAAGAAAAAGATTACACGGAGGAACCAAACAGTGCGGAAACTCTCTCTTTCTTTTGGCGGCTGCCTGAACCGGGAAGTTGGCCGTCAGATTTGTTCTGGGCGTTGGAATGCAACAGTTTCCAAACCTTCCGATCGTTTTTTTTTAGGGTAATCGGATGTTTTAGGCAAACAGACTAATATGGTGTTAGGAAGAAGTTATGGAGTTGAAATTACGTTTTTCTCTCCAACTTGAGACTCGAACTCAATCAGAACAAATGATTTGTATTCCTATTTTACCGGTTTGGGTACTCAGATATTTTAGGCAAAGTCTAAACTAATATCGGATTCGAAAATAAACCGTGTTGGAAGTACGTCGTTCCTTCTAATTTAAGGGTCGAATTTGGATAGAATAGACGATTTGCATTCTTATTTTACCGGTTGAGATTCGAACTCCCATCTTGAAAATCGTCTGTTATTCTTATTTTACCGGTTGAGATTCGAACTCCCATCTTGAAACTCGAACAACAGACGATTTACGTTCGTATTTTACCGGTTGAACTATTCAAATTGGATGTTTCCGGTTAGTTAGATGTGAAAACACCATGTCTAAAGATCTCACAAAGATTGAATCACCTTATCAGTTGTGAATTCAATATACCATGAACTCAATGTTTTAGCTGTTCAAGATGCATGTGAAGTATCATCAAAAGATAAAGTTTTGTTATTTCTATATCGAAATTACTCAATACATAGACCTAGGAACAACGCAAGAAACTCGGTATCAGCAAAATCTGCCCAAAGACATCTTCTGGGTACATCTTCCATTCCCATGTCTTTGCAGCCGACCCGTCTACAGCATGGTTTCACGCAGGTCGGTAGGTTGAGCAAGAGACCTCAGTCCTGCAAGAAACATTCCCTGGTGGTAGGACCTTTCATGGAGATCTGAGTTCATGGTGTTCTCTTTCATGGATTCCTCGGGTGTTGTTCAGTGACTCCATCAGCTGCATAATCTCACGGTGCATGCCACAGCCTGTGCCCAGTACTTTAGCCTCGCCTTTACATCATCTGGGTTATCCCCTGTATTCAGACACATACACCATACTAATCGGTCAGAAGAAATTCAAAGATCTTGATTATATGTATCTGTGCGTCTGAATCGAATGGCAGAAACCAATTGCAAGATAGAATTTGAAGAATTTCTGAAAAACTGGCTTACCAGGGCTAGAGATCTTCCAGTTAGCGATGGGGCTCACGTGGGATTCCGGCACCGGGGTCTTCTTCTCCGGCGACGTCGACGACGGCGTGTGCTGGTCGTGATCCAGAAACTTCTGACTCATCGAGTAACAAAGCTCGAGAGCCGGTAAAGTGTTGCAGAGCTCGGGGATCTCTTCGTAGCTGAATCCAAACCCTAGATCCACACAACCTTTGAGCTCCTCGAGATCGTCATCCGTCAAGCTCTTCGTCCTCTTCAAATCCTCGTGATCTCCGGCGACATTCACAGCCTCCACGTAACCCTCCAACAAGACCTGGCTCTTCTTCTTCTTCCTCTTCTCCTCTCTCACCAATCCCACTCCGTTTCCGCCATTGTCGATCTCTTCCTCTGCTTCGCAGCACCACCCTGAGCTCGAGCTCTCGCAGTCGGAATCCACGTCTGCTTCGTAAGAACAAAAATACTCTGAATCCGCCATTGTTCTCTCTCGTAAGAATTCGCTGAAAGTGGGAGAAAAGTGCAGAGAAAGGGGAAGACTAAGGTCCTTATAAAGCTGGCACAGCCGGCAATTATTTTGTCTTTTTCTTATTGTGAATGGACGATGTATGTATGGTTATGGGGATGATGTTGAAATTATCATGACAATGATATCATCACGCATACATAAATGGGCCAAAGACCGGGGCCCACCATGTGCCTTTAAATCATCACCAGAGCACGCTTTTGGTGTATTGTAGATTATTTTTACATTATTTTTTAGTCTTTTCTCGCCGTTATTCGTCACTTTTTAACCACAAATAATTGAACCTTTTTTTTATTACAAATAACGTACATATTCAATTAAGAAAAATATTATAGTAAAATACGCAATTAACCGTATGAATATTGTTGTTGCAAATGAGTGGCAAAAATAAACAAAATTATTCAGAAATATTGGATTCAATGAAAATATTCCATAGCCGGAGATATAAAGATTTTAATGTGCAAATTATTCATTGGTTAACCGAAAATATTATTTATGGTTTACGAAAAAAAATGTTTGTGGAAAAATTGGACCAACTTCAAAATTTCAAAGCCATAAAAAATGGGAAATAAGTGGATAAAATAAAAATAAAAGACAAACTTATATTCAACCAAAATATAAACGCAATGGTCAATGTAATAGCCACAATTGCAACAGTTAACTAAATAGATTAATGCAACAATTAGCTGATTCTAGTCACATTCTGTCAAACTAATTAATTTAATCAAAACGAATTCATTTGAATTTTCTATACATGAAACCGTATAATTCATATATGCTATTTTTTTTATATTTTTACTTAATCAATATAGTTATAAGTTGATATTATATATTGTATATTATGTATTGCATAATTACATACGCACCATGCCTAATGTCTACCTTTTGGACCGCCGCATCAAATGTATTCCTTTGAGCTGTCAATCTATTTGAATTTAATTAAGTTAAATTATTAAATTATAGGTAGGTAATAATCAGAAAAATAAAAAAAGGGTAAATGAGGCGTTCAATTATAATTATTATTGTTGGCCACTAAAGGAAGTCGTTGGTCTCGAGATCGCCAGCTCAGCCTTTTCTCCGACCAACGACTCTTAATTATTTTTAAAATATTAATACAAGGATTAACATTTTGGTTTTCCATTGTCATTATTTTTATAATAATAAAAATATTTTTAATCGCTGCAATATTGTTATGAATCACGTTAATTAACAGTATCATAAAGGTTGCAAATTTATAAACTAATTATATATTTAAATTAATTAAAAACAATCGCAGAGAAAATTGCTTCTCGAAATTTCCAACGAGGGAATAAAATAATACGAAATTATAAGGTTATATGATGAACACGACTTTTTATGTAATGGTGCAAGGCAGAGTGATTTAATCACGTAACTAAATACGAAGAATGCGTCAAGCTTTCCTGTCATACTCATGTGCCCATCCACATTACTCCCATTTCATGTGTCATATGTATCACCATGATTATGATGATGGCGATAATGATGATGATGATGATAGATACATAGATAGATACCACATGTAAGTAAAACAATTCAATTAATGTTTTTTTTTTCTATAATTATTTTAGTTTATGGAATCGGTGGGTTAAGTTATCAATGATACTGTCCTTTTTACACAATTATTCTATATATTATTCCATTAGAGGGATATGATATGTAATTCGATTCATAAAAGATCTCATTTCTTTATATTATATAAAAGATATAATTTTGTCAGAAAACATGTGCTTAATATCATCCTTTTGATTCATGTTTTTATACTATTATATATAAGATATAATTTTGTAAGTAAACATGTGCTTATATATGATATGTTTTTACCCAGTATATATATATATATGATATGCTGCGGCGATATCATATGTGCGATCCGGCGACATGTGCATGTAGCATGAAGATGTGGAGGAAGAGGTGCCACGTGGAATAAGAGGATAGGATTCATAGGAACTATGGGGGCCACGTGTCTCTTCTTGGTGAACTCAACCAAACAGCGACACCAGTCCACACACAAATCATGTGCACTGGGTCCCACGTGGATAATTACCATTAATTTGCTGATTAATTCATTAATCAAAGAAAAGTGTACATATGTATATATAATATGGTCTCACCTGATGACAATCATTAATTTGTTGATTCATTCATTAATAAAAGAAAGGTCTATATATATATATGTTATTGTGAACAGCAATATAATTTACATATTGTTGTTGATAATTAAATTTCGAAATAAATAATATTAATGTTATAATTGGTGTTATACCAAACTAAATATACATCAGTTTAACACTGCGAATAGTGATAGCGTTTAGGGTAAACGCGAAAATGGCTGTCCGAAACGTACTATGCATGGACATGCATGATGATATACACAACTACATGAAATGTTTGTGATATGTCTCATGTCTCATGTACACATTTATATGTCCAATAACCATCATATAGACATATATTTTCATTTTATTGCCACGTATATTTATACATTAATTACAAATATCCAACTTTCTTTTTCCAAACGTTTGACAAGAAATTGTGCAGCACGCACACCTATATCTCGAAAGAATAATTTTTTTTTTGTTAACGGAAAGAATAATCTTTAATTAATGTTATGTAAATTTTTCATATTTCAGAAAAAAAGTTAATGTTATTGTTAATAGTTTATATTGTATTTGAAATATCGTAGTTTGTGGAGGCAGTAAAATAGATATAAAAGGAATTACAGTTATATTAGAATTTTTTTATAAGAATGTTTAGTGTAAATATAGACCGTATAATGATAATTGGTAAGGGTGAAAATTACGAAACTGAGATTTATGTATGGATGACAATAACATAAGAGTTTACATATACAAACGTGTTATATAAACACATAAAAAGAAAGAAACAAATTATATATTAATCCTTTAAAAAAAAACTATGGTTTATGTTTGTGTAAAAAAAAAGTGATGAAGGATATAACAAACCGATCCAATACTATCAATCATTAGGCCTAAAAAATTGTAATAAAAAAATATAATGCAGAAAATTACAATAAAAAATAATACGAACAAGACAACGTGAGGTGTGTATATATAATATATATAGCAGTATGATACAAAAACAATAATGTAAAAACTTGTGGGCCCTTATGAATTGAATCGTCGAATAGTGCAGTCTCTGTCTCTAGGCCAGAGCTCCATGCATTCACATTTGTCGATTCAATCCCCCCAATTTTGTATCCAGAGAGTTCTCTTGTCGTCATCTTCCCCAAAACGCACCGTTTTGATCATGTAAATGATTACTATACATGTATATATGTATGGAGAGAGAAACCTCTCTCTCTCTCTCTCTATATATATATCATGGCGGTGATGCAATCATGCAACAACAAAAAGGATCTGAAGGAAAGATAATGGACAAAGGATCTGAAGCCCTGAGTGTGGGGCACGAGCACTTTATTTACAGACATAACTTGGCGCATGAGAAACATGCATGTTCCTGTAGTTCGAACAACAATGGCGAAAAGGAAGGCTACCTCCATGGATAATTCTCAACAGATACAACGACATTACACCCATATAGATATCTGTATATGGAAGCTAACGACAACAACAAAACCAGACAACCTGACGGAGAATCCTGTCTGAAAACCCTACGACCGAGCTCCTTGCTCCAGAAGCCTCTGCAGATTGAAACTACTCCCGCCGCCATTACCGCTCCTTCCCCACGCCCTCTCCCTCCATATCTGCTCCACTTCCACGAACGTAAGACCCTGTGTCTCGGGAACGAACATGACCACGAACACCACGGCTAGAACCGCGATCCCTGCGAGAATCAAGAACGTTGTTCCCGTCCCTGCAGTTTCTGCAATGGACAGAAACGTTTGAGCAACGATCAGGTTGCTGACCCAGTTCACCGTTGCGGACATGCCTCCGCATATGCCGCGGTATTGTTCCGGGTATATCTCCGAGTTCACTGTCCATGGGACAGGTCCCATTCCCGGCGCGAAGAAGGCAATGTATAGAGCTAGGCCTATGACCGCAAGCCAGCCGTAGATTCCGCCGCCCGACGATTGTTGGAAGAAAGAGATTGCGAGGATGATGAGAGAAATGATCACACCGGCCAAACTCGAGAGAGCTAGCTTTTTCCGTCCAAAGTGATCAATGAAGTAGATTCCGACCACTGTTCCTGCAGCGTTCATGGCGGCAACGATGAGAGAGAGGAATAGAGCGAGCTGGTTTGAGTGGAAACCCGCCATTTGGACTATCGTGGGGCTGTAGTACATCACCGTGTTGATACCGGTGAATTGCTGAAACGCCTGCAAAACGACAAAAGAAATCATCTTTCAAGCTAAAACATCGGATTGATTGTAAATCCTAAAAATGAAAACGTTTGATAGCTTATGAAGATTTCTAGCTCAATTCCGAGCTTGGACCGAAGATCTTGATACAGCGGATATGGCCATGATTCAATACCTGAAGTCCTGCTCCGGCAAGAAATGCGAGCCTGATTTCCTTTTTCCTGAAAACGTCCAAGTAACTAACGGTATTCTTTTTGAGCTGTTCTTCCTCTATAGATGCAGAAAGATGATCAATCTCATCTTCTAGCCGAGCAATGTCATAAATTCTGGCTAGGGTTTGGATGGCTTCCGATTTACGATCCTTCATGAAGAGCCAACGAGGGGACTCGGGCATGCAAAGCGTCAGACAGAATTGGATTACAGCCGGAACCCCTGAAACTCCAAGCATCCACCTCCACGTTCCCGGAACCTGCAAAACAAAATATCGTTTCAGAAGCTGAAAAACAAACCCTTAGCTTCGACATAAGAAAGATGTATATACTTTTCACCATTTCCGTAAGTTTTCAAGTGATCAACTTCAGTGCTACGTGTTCTCTTCCGAAATTCGGGAAAAATCAATCCTTTCTAGTTGAAAAAGGTGGCATTAGATGTAAAGGAACACCAAAGAGTGACCTTCGCCCGAGCTCGGGATAGATTTTATTTTCTCGAAATGATGAACGGACAGATAAGCTGGCATAGCTGGGGGGACATGAGGAACTGCAGCAAAGTAAACTTGAGTGGTGGGTGCAATCAGATATACCAAAATCAAGATCATCATCACAGTGATACAATGTGTATCACAAGACTGCAACTTTTTAATGATAAGATTCCAGTAATGCAGCCATTATGACAAGAGTTGTAAAGATTATTCACAAAAAGATCGATGCATGCCCATGAAGGTATTCAGAGTTCAGACAGAGACAAGGCTCTAAAAAATTGCTACTCGATCTCAAGAATGTTCATGGAATGTCATCAAAGATCTGAAACCAAACACTAGATTACAGTAAGGGAGGGAAGGATATGCCTAACCTGAGTGAAAGCAAGATTTACGAGGTAGGAAAGAAACTGTCCACCAGTGATCATCAACACGTTTGTGCTGACAAGTCCACCCCTCACTTCGGAAGGGGATGCTTCAGCTATATAAACAGGTGCTGTGACAGAGGCAACACCCACTCCTAACCCGACCAGGAGACGACCTAGTATTAGGACATACGGATCTGGAGCAGCTGCCATCACGACTGCTCCGGCCGCGAAGACGATATCAGCAAGGAGCGTGGCCTTTTTCCGACCATAAGCGTCATTGATCCAACCCCCTGATGCAGCCCCGATCATGGCACCGACCAAAGCCATACTAACAATCGTTTCCTGACAGATCAAAGGGTTTGAACATCTGGTCGTGGATAATTACAGTGTACTAACAGCTCTGATCGCAGGAGACAAAAGCAGCATACCTGTAGGAAACTACTTTGGTTAACGACCTCAAACTCATCCTTTATGTACAAAAGGGCACCAGAAATCACACCTGCACAAGAACATTCACAAAGGGTTCGGCCAAATTTAGAAAGAAGCATAACAGGGCACAACGAATTCATATGAGATTGAAGCAAATCACAAACAAATGCTGCAACCCCACCAACCCAATTTCATATTGTGATAATTCAGCGAGGCAAGAACCATGGATTCAAAGAAGTCCACTTTCCATCAAGATTACAAAATATCCACAAATGGGTCAGTGGAGACATCAAATCTAATGCCTGGGAACAACTAAATTCAGTTTTTTTCCTACAATTTCGTCCAAAGTGAAACATATGGAAACAGAAAGAGAACACAAAGGGTTGTGAGAGAGACCTGTGTCATAGCCAAAGAGAAGGCCTCCAATCCCAGCAATCACAGTCAAACCCAGAACATAAGAATTCCCAAAGTACGACATCCTTCTCTCTGGGAACAAGTCCAAGTAACCGGAACTTCCAGGCACCGATTGAATCGTCATTTCCGCCGTCGTTTGGATTTGTCTGACTAGACCTTTGCCCTCAATTCCACGACGAATTCGAAGGGAAAAAAAATCTCCAATGATTGAGAAAGAACTATTGGAGAAACACTGGCGAGAATTAGGGAAAAAAAATCTTAAATCCTCGATGTCTAAGTTGAGATTGATTGAAAAAATTGGGAGTTGGGAAACAATTGATCTTGCAAGTTAAGGAAAAATAGCAAAAATTTCCAGATTTGGCTCCAGTTCTCTCCAAGAATCTCGTGAACACTCAAATCAAAACATAGGATCTGAGATTTGCCGGGTTCGGATGTGGCGTCTGCAGACGACGGCGAAGAAAGAAAGCATTTAAAGACGAGAGATGTAAAGGGAGGCAAAGAGATAGAGAGTGTTTTAGGGTTACGAAGCGGTGAGTGACAGACAAGTAAAGCCAGGTTAGTTTTGTCTGTTAGTACTGTTTTTCCCCAAATCTTTATCATCGAATCGATGACGTGGCGGTGCATCTCCCCATGAGGATTGTCTTAACTCGAACAACTAAAACCCACTCGCTTTTGCCATATGTATGTCTGTACTCGCTCTGGTGACCATTCATATAGAAAATACAGGAAGAGTTCTGATGCACGCATTCTCAGTGACAGCCACGCGCGGAATCGTATAGATGACACGTGGAAAGAGAAAATGTGGCTCTTGTTTTCTCAGCTATTGCGCGTGTGTTACACTCGCCTAATACACTGCCCTGTTGAATTTAGAAAGTTGACACGTGTCAGACTCGTTAATCACCCGATAAAAAAGAAAGGAGAAAGGCAAAAACAATTTTATACACAGTTTCTAAAAATTGGAGAAAAATACATTAATTAAATTTCGACTAATAAAATATTAATATAAAGAAAATACCCAAACATACATATCCTACAAACAAAAATCCGGAAATTATCATTTCGAAAAGTTTTTGTCAACTCATGAAATAATTATTTATATGATTAAAATATATTTTTTGTAATTTTTTTTTCCAAATTTAACGAAAAGGTGGCGAATTTTTTATATAGTTTTTCCTGAAAAAGATGATAATTTGTTGTATGCAATATATACGTAGATGAAAGAAACTAGTAGAGTTTCTAAAATAAATATATTCTATTATAGTCTCCAAGTGTTTGTAACCATACTTGTAAATATAAAACCGTGACCTTATCCATAAACCCAATAGAATCCTCTGGTAAGAGAATGGAATAAAAGGGCAAGATAGTACAATTTATCACAAATCAATTTCCCCAAATTTTTTTAGAGAAAAAAAAACATCAGAAACTGTAATCTGGTTTGAACACCCTTTTGCTCACTGTCTGCTTCTTGGCAACGTTCCTGTTGTCTTCTACCTTCGCTTCGTCTCCTTCTCCAACTTCATCAGCGTCTGCAACCGCAAACGCAGGATGGCTCAAAACGCAGTTCAGCAGCTGCGTTCCTCGTAACGCGTTTGTGAGTGGCAAGTGCCCTTCGGGCGTTTCCCCATTGAGTTCCCACATGAACTCGTTAGGAAACGCTCTGTAATTGTGCTGTTCCACTTCCGTGTCGAGCTTCTTCATCCAACCCACCTTAATGAAGAACCTGGTGAAGTCTTTGTTCACTTTGTTCCAGATTCTGCGTTGCACGCTGTACCCGAATCTACCCTCACTGTGTTCTGTCCAAAGGTCATCGATGGCTTTGAGGTCTTCTTTGGAGATGAACTGAACCTCGGAGAAGAATACATACCCGCGTTTCACGGCGGATTCTCCGGCGAGCTGGATGAGTAGCCGCCGTGTCTCCTCGTCGGCTTGCCGGAAGGTTTTGTCGGCAGCTGCGTTCCTCGTAACGCGTTTGTGAGTGGCAAGTGCCCTTCGGGCGTTTCCCCATTGAGTTCCCACATGAACTCGTTAGGAAACGCTCTGTAATTGTGCTGTTCCACTTCCGTGTCGAGCTTCTTCATCCAACCCACCTTAATGAAGAACCTGGTGAAGTCTTTGTTCACTTTGTTCCAGATTCTGCGTTGCACGCTGTACCCGAATCTACCCTCACTGTGTTCTGTCCAAAGGTCATCGATGGCTTTGAGGTCTTCTTTGGAGATGAACTGAACCTCGGAGAAGAATACATACCCGCGTTTCACGGCGGATTCTCCGGCGAGCTGGATGAGTAGCCGCCGTGTCTCCTCGTCGGCTTGCCGGAAGTTTTTGTCGGAGAGGTCTTTCTCCAGGACGTCAAACGTGATCTCGGGTTCAGCGGCCGAGGGGGCGGAGGCGGCGGGCGAGGCGGCAGAGGAGGAGAGAGAGAATACGGCGGCGGCGGAGGATGAGGAGGAGGTGGGTTGTCTGAAGGAAAGGGAAGTGGGTCTGGAGATTGAATGGCTATGGAGACAACGACGGTGGTGATCGCAGTCGTGGTGGTGGTGATGAGATTGACGGTGGCGGAGAGAGTTTGCGGTCGCCATTTATGTGCGAGATAGAGAGAGTCAAGTGAGTTAAGTTGCAGAGTTAAAGAGAGAGAGAAATAAGGGGCGAGTAAGTGGCGGGGACGACTTTGATTGGTCAGATAAGGCTTGGATTTGATTCTCTCTCATGTAACGGACCATGATTTTGTCACCCACATTTCGCCACGTCAGCTCGAATTGTGTTAAATTTACGGATTTGCCCCGGAATCTTGCCTGATTGGGCCTCTATTGGGTTTCTATGCTCCATTATCATCATCATCATCATCATCATCATCATCATCATCATCATCATCATATGTGTGAAGAAAATGATAACAAGCAGTTAAACCTTCAACCATGGTTTCCTCGCAGAGTCTTCTCTTTACATTCATTACTTCAACACTTTTTCCGTCAGTACATATAATGATGATGATGATGATGATGTCATGTTAAACATTGTTTTTCAGAAGTTATGGTGCAAGAACAAGCTCTGCTGCGGCGAAGCAGGAGCTATCTCTTCCTCCAACCTTCTAAGCCCTTCAGGGTTCCTCCCTTCCTCAACGACGACGTCCCCTTCAGAAGCCGACGACTTCCTTCTCTGAGACGACGTCACGCTCGGAAACGTAATCCACGACCCTCCTCTGAACTCCGTCCTCTGCTGTTCCTCCCCTTCCAACCCTAGTCTCCATGACCTCTTCTGCATTCTGCTGCTCCCAAGCACCACCTCCGTCGGCAGTATCGGCTGCTCATAGCACGGACTCCCCATCAGCTCCACCAGTGCTCGTTCGAGGGCAGTCGTCACTTTCTCCATTGATGGCCTCTCCCTCCCTCTCATCCTCACGCATTTGCATGCCACCCTCGCTATTCTCTTCAGTGCTTCCGTGTCGGACGGCGGTTTCAGGGCCGGGTCCAGGATCGCAGATATGTCTCCTGCTTTGATCAGAGGAACCGCCCATTCCACTATGTTCCCTTCCTCGTACTGCATGTCAATGGCTTTTCTACCGCTCAGGATCTCCAGAAGTAAGACTCCGAAGCTGTAGACGTCGGATTTGGTCGTGAGGTAATGGAGTCTGTAGTATTCTGGATCGAGGTAGCCGAGAGTGCCTGCAGGAAGTTCTGCGAGAGGGGAGCTGCTGTCCGCAGGGCCTAGAAGGGAGAGACCGAAATCTGCAACTCGGGCATTATGTTCTTCATCTATGAGAATGTTCGATGATTTAATATCTCGGTGAATAACGGGTGGGCAGGCGTAACCGTGCAAGTACTCGATGCCTCGGGCGGCTTGGACAGCTATCGTAACTCGCTTGACCCAATCTAGCTGCTCCTTCAAGGCCTTGTCCTTTCCATGGAGATGGTTGTGCAGTGAGCCATGAGCCATAAACTCGTAAACCAGGAGCCTTTCCCCACCTTCTTCGCAGTAGCCAAGAAGGTTGAGTAAATGGGCATGGTTCAGTCTCGAGAGAAGATCAAGCTCTGTCCTAAACTCTTTCGAGTTCTTCTGTTTATCAGATGAAGTTATGGCCTTTTTAACCGCGACTGTGGTTCCATCCCTCAGTGTCCCCTTGTACACGCAGGAGAAGCTCCCTTTTCCCACCATGGATTCTTCCTTGAAGCCCTCTGCTGCCTTCTCGAGCTCTTTGTAAGTGAACACATGGGCCCTCCTGATCCTAAGTACGTCCAGATCCTGTCGGATTCTCCCGCAGGCTTGATCTTTCCCAGACTTTGCATTCTTTCCCGAGCATGTACAATGTCGCAATCTGAACCTTACGTATATAACAGCTGATAACGAGGCAAGGGTTATCACGAACAGAGCAAACCCGATCTCCGCAACTATGATAGGTAACTGAACAGACCAAAACAGTCCTTCTCCTCCTCCTGCCTTCCCGGCCGTAGAGATAGAACAGTTCGAGGAGCATTCGGGTGAGGAGCAACTCGAACAGTTATAACCACAGACCATGTCAGAACTCCGAGAGCATTCACTCTTCGGGTACATCTGAGGAGGGCAACTGGTCCTGCAGGGCAAGCAGATATGCGAGCCGGGTAGCCTGCAAGGTGTTCTGTCATGGTTAACCAGTTCATAGGTACCTGGTGGGCAGGGGATGAGTGTGCATAGACCCGGAGAGATGGCTAGAGGGAGAGTTCTCGGGAACCCGAGCCCCCAACAAACGGGTAACGTGGAATTCCCCGAAACAACTCCGCAAGTGAAGTAATTACCCGCTGCAAGTTCATAGAACATGACACCAGTTGGAGCTGGGGTGCTCGGGCTAACTACATAACCCCAACAGACCACACTATGATCATAGCTTCTGATTCCACAAGCATGAAACCTTCCCCCGACAACCGTCAGTAACGGATCCTTTGGAAGTAAATCGAGGGTCCGATCTCCCGTTGAGGTCACCGAGATATCCTCTTGGAAATCTAAGCTCCTTCCCCAACAGAGCACTCTAGAGTTTAACCCTTCGAGGATGCCACAGACATGGTATCCTCCAGCTGCAATCTTCTGAAACCTTGCTCGTTTCGGGATCAAACTGATCACTTGGCTGCTAGTTTCGTCGCCCCAGCAGTAAACGGACTTGTCCTTGGAGGACAAGCCACAGTTGAACTCGGAACCAGCTGACAGAGATAGGATCTGTCGGTCCAAAGCGAAGTTCCTGGTCATGTTGTAACCCCAGCAATCAACAATGGAGTTTTCCTTCTTTCTCCGCTTCCTCAAACCGCAGAGATGGTAATCGCCAGCACTGATTTCCGAGTATTTAGCCTCTCCGATCATCGGATGAGGAACTCCTATGTGAATGTAGCCACTGTTTCCCCAGCAATATGGCTGGTTGGATCTCATCAAAAGCCCACACATAAACCCATCACCACCTGTCAAACCAATGAATTCTAGATGAGTGGGAGTTCCGTACAGAATTGCAGAGTTGGATCCGTAGCAAACCACGAGATGAGACCCATCCGATTTCAGACCGCAGAAAACTGGACCGCTCTCTCCGTATGAGATGGCAATAGAAGACATTGAGCCAAGACCAGAAGCTTGCCACCACAGATTCATGAAAAGCATGAATCTTGCAAGGAAACTCCATTTCCACTCGCTGATCTTCAAGATCCAGATGGGAAAACTTCTTGCTTTGAGACCTGAAATTCCCATCCTGGAAAACAACCAAACCCCGTCAAATTCGATTCAAAAGGGGATATGATACTGCGCACTTGGTTAAAACCAATGCTGTTCCTCTGCTCGTATGTGCAAGTTCAGAAAGGCACAAAGCTAAGAGCTTTCTTAAAAGGAGAAACTGCATGTATCGACCTGCATCATCTGCATTAAAAGGCTGCTTCCATATTCGCTAATTCTGACAGCAAAGCCTCAAGCTTTGTGAACTGAACTGTCTCCGGCTAAACAGAGGAACCATGCCGATAACGGCCCCGAAGGTTTTTTTTTTGTTTCAACAATTGGAAAGGAAATTCATGTTTTCTTGATGTTGAATCTCAGACAACCATGTCAAGCAGACATCTTTCTATCTTCTTCTGCTATGAAAATAACACTTCTTACCCTTGAAATTTCAGAAACAGCATTACATGGTTAAAGATCCCCCCAAACCGTCGTCTCTGCAACTGTATTCCACCGAAAGGAGCATTGAGATTTGTTGAAATGGGTTTCCGGAGAAACCTAAACTCAGAAAAGAGTAAAGATAAATGGGGTGACGAAAGCAGGATCAGTGGAAAAGAGAGAGAGAGAGAGAGAGAGAGGGAGAGAGGGAGAGAGAGTTTATCTCAATGTTGAGTGGTACTGAGAGCATTAAATGAGGGCAAAACTGCTGCGCTTCTCAGTAATGGAAAATGTAGTTGGAAGCCATTAAATGAGGAGTAAATGCCTCTCCTTTCCTTTTTGTTTTTGTTCTTTCCTTCTATCTCTCTCTCTCCTCTGCTTCATTCCAAAATTTCCCCAATTCATGCCAAGTTTTGTGTTCATCACTCCCGAAGTTGACGACAATGTCCTTCTGCATCGTAACTGACGAATCATGAGACATATATAAATATATAATGCCCTTTTCAAAAACCCTTCTGAAGCATACTATAATTTAATCCAGAGTCGGGTTATTTTAATAACCATTGTGTTTGCTTGCTATCCACGAGGAAGACGTAGAAGAAGACCCAACCACCATCTCCCAGAGTTATATATATATAATACCGTTGTGGTTTTTCCCATGCATGCACATGCAGTTAGAAGTTTGTCAACTCTGTCTCCTGTTCTCTGACAAAAAAACATCCTCTGTTTTGTCTTCTTCCTCCGAGTTTTCATGGACAATGTCCTGTCGTCCTGCAAATCCCTAAGGGCCGGAGTTTCTTCGTCGGACAATAAGGTAGCAACTACCAGACACAACAGAGCCTTCTCCAATCTTTCTCCTCCTACGACATCCTTATGTACTTCCTATAAAAATGGCCGCATAAAACTCACAAAAGAATGAGTTATATTTCAGATATTTAGACAAATGCAAGCAATAGCAAATATCAGATACAAGCGTTACTAATGGAACGGTGAAGGAAACAGAGTACAAGCGTTCTTAATGAAGAAAAAAACAAGAACATGTGATGGATCAGTGCACGTGCTGCTGCACACATGCTACCAGAATTCTCGATTCTCCTCTCATTTGTTTCAAGGGGTGGCAGATGATCTGATTAAACAATCTGTATCCATATTGATGATAGATTATATATAATATCATGACGAATTCACTCAATAGATATGTTAGTTTGCGAGACATAGATCTAGTGGACACAGATAAACCTTACAAAACAATGGTAAAACAAGACATACGATTCCATGCCTCTAAACCAGTCTTGAATAATACAACAGAGGATCTGCTTACAGACATATGTCACGAGTTTGAATGAGGCAAGTTTGCTTTGCAATTGAACTATCAACATCAAGCTTATATCGTCATTCTATTTCTAGAGACTAAAATACAATGCAGACCAAAGCAGCTAACCTTCGTTACAAAGCATAAACAAGATAGCCTTCAAATGTTTCAACTTTCAAGTACCTGATTTGGTTTTGCTTCATTCTTTTATATGGTACATTGCCTCCATTGAAATACATGGCAGCAAAGGTGTTGCCAGCTACTTTCAACCAAGCACGAAAATCTCCTCATCAAGAATACTCTCCATGGCTTTTTGTGTTTCAGACATGTTCAGAAACAAGGGCGATGCCAGATTAAGGTGACAAGACCGGACGTGATCTGCAGATGATTATACAAAAAAGACAGAGATTTTCCATGTGGGGTCTCAAAATGAAAAGGGGAAGAAAACCAAAAACCTCCATATTCACAACACAGACTTCTGGCATTGCCAAAGTAAGATTCGTTGGTAGTCAATATAATGCTTCATAAGTGGTCCGAGTGAAATTGATGACCTAACCCCAAGTGGAAAACAAGAATAAATTAATTTCATAGACCATAAACGAATCCTCGAATCAAGCAAATTCAATGTTCTTCAATCAGAAAAACCGACATGTGACACTAGAACGTATAGTATCAAAGGTAAAAAAAGGGCACAAGTGAATGAAAAGATTTTTGGAGCAAAATCCATATGAGTTCCTTTTTCATTCAACGGCTATAGGATCCATGTGATATAAAGAAAGCCAATAGCGTAGCATACCTCCAAAAGGAGCAGCATGAATCTCCTTGCCATAAGGATTATTTCTTGACATCTATATACCAGGTTTACTACTTCTAATCAGATTTTTACCAAAAGATTGACTGGGGAGAAAATCTGGAAGGAAGTAAGTACCCATTCTTCTATCACCGCAAAAATAAAATTCCGTATATGGGATGCTACATTATTCAAACAACTAACTCTGACAGCTCCTGCCCACTTATCGCTTCGCTCTTTTCCTGTGAAGGGAAAAAAATGCCAAAGATGATGCAACTGTGGTATTCTTTGGTATTAAACCAACCAATATGGGAGTTCTCTGTGGATAGCAAATTGACAAGAAAGAATAAAACCCACCTGCTCCACCACATTTGATGCCAAATAGTTCTTGCCTGCATTGCACTGAAAGATTAATTTGGAGTAACCTGTTGACTCTGTATCTTTGATGAGCTTTGATTCAGGAAAATCTGGGGATCTACTGATCTTACAAAGTGAACATGATGGGTTCAGCTTGTAGGGCTTGGCTTCCAACGATGACATGTCAGAACCACCTCCTCCTGGACGTATAGGAGTTTCAGTAATTGGGTTTCCAACTTTTTGAGTGGGGAGGTCACCAGTCAGATTTTCTTGTGTACCAAAATCACTTGCCATCTTTTTTCCAGGAGAATTAACGCAGTTCGGATCAAGCGAAACTACACAACAACTCTTACTACACGATTCAGCACAAGAGAATATCAAGCCAGGTGCTGAAGGCTCAGCTATGAACAACTTATGCCCTTCGTCTTTCTTATACTTGTCCAAGCCATCTGTTTTTCTGCTGCATGGTTCTATGATCGCAGATGACGTTAATGATTCTTCACCAGTAGACCGATGATCGGATGGTGTTTGTCTATTGTCTTTCATTAGCGGGCTTATTGAAGCTTCTTTCACTGCATGACCATCTTCGCCTTGCCCAGAATTTGCATTCAATGGGGGCAGACTCTTCTGTTCCTTGCTCTTTGTAAGGTAACTGGTGCCCTGATCAGACCTCCGAGATTCCTTGGGAAGCATGCTATTACATACACAGACCTCATTTCTCATACTATTGATCCAGTCTGATGGGTTGAAATTTAGATCAACTGAAAGGTTAATACCCTTTTCTGAACTGACATGGAATTCAAATGAAGATGGACTGGAATATGTAGATGTAGAGCATCCTGTTGAAGGAGTTTCTCGAGGATGTTCACCAGCATTTACCTCTCTTGTTTGGTTTTCTAACCAACAGTCTGTTCCCCGAAGAAAATCCTTCCTGGAATTTTTTATTGGGCCCTTTTCATTCAAACTCCTAGTAAATTGGGTAGCACATGCAGATTCAGTCGAAGCCCCATGTACGTCCTGCATTTCCATGACGAGATTTGGAAATAAGAAGAGTGGAAGAACTTGAAAGAAAGTGGGGAGGATGCAGAAGATGCAAAAGAACTGGCATAAAGAACGAAACCATGATATGTTCCTTCAATAGAGACTATGCACCTTATTCTACATTGTAACTTTTAGCATGCTCCAAAGAGTGAAAGACCACATGTTACAGATTTTTTCTTTGATGAAACAAACAAAGAGGGAACTACATCTGTCTCATCCATATACTGTACTCTCATTTCCTAGAATAGGAGAAGGAAGGAGGAAGCCCCTAATAAAGCTACATGAAATGCTTATCCTAGAAGCATTGCACATACATGCGATCCACACGCAGTTGTAACCCAAAATCATATTCATGCAGAAAGACATTGACAATAAGGCGAATCAGACCTGGTAATGTGTGTTATCCCCAAGGGTAAAGCCTGTTTCTCCAGCCGTTGTAGTTTGAGAACGATCCTCTCTAATAATGTCCAATTTACTACCACCATAGTCTGCAGAATTACACCACCAATCTTCATGAAGGGCTCAACTCAAGCTAGCAAGATTGAACCTAAAAACGGAGAAATATTTAGCCAACAGATGATTAAGATTAACCCAACCTTTTTTCACATCTCTAGTTCCACTTGCGGGTGCTCCTGATGCAGTAGCTGAATGGCATTGATCACCCACTCCAAAGGCACCTGAGCTCAAACTGTTTCTCTGAAATGTTTAGACACGACAGAATGGGATTAGTTGCCAGGAAAAGAAAACCGGTTGGCGATGGAGCAGATGACAAACAAGACAGAAAAAAGCATCTTAATGGTTCCATATTATTCTCCATCTCTACAAGGTAAGATGCAACAAATCCATCTCTGCTCAGCTAATTTTAGAAGTTAGAAAAATCGAATAGGCAAAGGTATACCTCAAAATAAGAAGCCAATGATTCAGCCATACCCATACTTGACCTATTATCCGGCAAGTCATATTTCTTGCATAAACTTTGAAGCTCTTTCCGCGAAAAACTACAGAAGAAATCCAGATCATCTTTCCTGACCATCTCCCACCACTACATCATTTCAAAGGAAGTGACCAGTTCAAGAAACTGGCCAAGGAATATCATTCAACTAAGGAACATAGTGAACCGAGACTTAAAACTGGGCTGCAGCGAAAAAAGACATGACAGAAATGGAAAACCAAAGTTTCAGAGGACCGAGAAGTGAGAACATTGACAATCCATACTTCTCAAACTGGTAAATTCCAAAGCAGAGAAGCCATTACCAATCATAAGCTAAACATATAGTTTATGAATAGAGAAGAAACGAAGGGAAGAGACATTCTGAATCTTTAATCCAAGCCACTTCACCAAATGCATCATCGAATCAAAGGAGCCACATAAAGCATCAAAACCCAAGAAAAGAACATGGAAACATCATATTTCAGTTTAATTCCTTCAGCCGCATTTCCCAGAGGAAACTGAACAGGAAACGGACAAGCTTAAACCATTATATCGAGACCATAGCAAAAGTTAACAAGCAAATGAAATGTTCGGCGAATTCCATGAAAAATTTCGGTGATTTTTTACCTGATCGAAGACTTTTCCGGGAATTCTGCCAAGAAAGAGGGAAATTTCCAGGGAAAAGTAGCTCGCTTTCGAAATCCGCGAGCAGGGGGGAGACCAAGCAGACAAAACAAACGACTTCCTGAGAACTTGTCCCCGAATCAGAGTAGAGAGAAACAGAGCAAATGGTATTTCTGCAATTAAGGGATAATATATGGGCTTCCCTTGGGCCGCGTTGAGCCCATTTAAGTTTATAATTACTAGTTCCTATGGATTTTTAGTATTTTTTTTTAATGACTATGAGTATTTCCGTTTTAACAAGTGTGAGCTGGATTTTTCATTTAAATTTGCATTAAGTAAATTTCTTTTGTAAAATTAGATAAAGAAGTAATAAATGAACTTTATACTTTGGACTAAAAATCCTTGAAACATTACATTAAGCTGTGATAGAATCGATATTTATACAACAAAGAACGGAATTCAATGAAAATGAAATTGTACAACAGCTCAGAAGCAGAGGATCTTAATGGAGCTTTGAATTAACTTACAGGATGAAAGGACTGTACATACAAAAAAACAACCATACCTAAGTGCTTCTCCTACAAATCAAAACCCTGATTTTATTTTCTTCTGAACAAAAACAATGGCAGAAACATCAAAACAAGAACTCTCAAGACACTTGCAAACTCAGCTTTGAAAACTTACCTGTGATATAACCAAAGGGAAAAGAAGGAAGAACAGAGCAAAACTGATCTCTGCTAGGTGCAAGAACATCAGGGAAAAAAACCAAGAAGACATATAACTCCTATATTAGCTGTTGCAGAAGAATGAAACGGGGGAGGATTTGAGACCAAAGTCTCTGTCTATATGTCTTTCTGCTCTATCTCCCTCACACTGTCTACTATGTGTTGGATTCTCTTTGAGAGGCTCACGTTTTGCTGTTCAATTTGCTCGAAGAGCATCTCTATATGCCTTTTGTAAGTCGCAGCTCTCTTTTTCTCTGCTGCTAGCTGCAATGTTAGCTCCTGGATTTTGTCGTGCTCGTTCTGTGTCGAGAGGAAAACAATGGTTAGCATTCAAACTTTCGCAACAGATAAAACGTGCCCATGGGCATAGAGATTCCATTACAGCAACTGATCCTTATGTTTGCCTGCGAGTTCTAAAACTTATCTGGATTTATTACCTTGTTTGTAAAAATAAATGGGTGAAAAGCTAATTTTCATTAGTTCAGCCAGAAGATGCAAAGTTATCACCTTTACGTCTAAATCCTGAAAGTAAATAATTGACAAGGTATCCAAAGTCTGATGAATGAGCAAGGACTTACCGGGTATTGATCGTAAATGCAACCCCTTCGAACCCTTCCAGGCATCAAAGGATGAGTATGTTCCTTGATGAACTTTGTAATAACCCATTTCCCGGAATCTTCTCTTCTCACCAAAATCATAGCCCTGCAACCAACCCTTGTCTCTGCCCTTTGCCTGATAATCTTGTCACGTTTGCTTGGCAACCTGTAACCCTCTTTGTTACAGACAAGTTGTCTACCGATGGCAGATCCATCATGCCTCGACCGCGAGAGTTTACTTACACGGATGACGAATCCTACATGTGAGGCATATGCATTGTAAAACGAATGTGCAGCTGCTTCGGAATCAAACTCCTGCCCAACATAGGGCTCATCGGCTGGTACCTCTGGCATGGTTGGAACTCCCACAGGGATATCCCCCTCGACAGAATCTGGATCTATCTTATGATCTTCATCCTGCTCGAGCATTGCTTGACTGGAATTCTGACCCGTTTCATTCTGGCTCTCGCTGGTGTTATCCTCTAGTCCATCTGGATTTCCCATCATCCCAGCTGCAACATCATTTTCAATCCTGTAATCCACTGAAACAAACAAAAAGAGGGTTCTATTTATGATTTCCATTGCATTTCAAAGAGGAGAACACTAAATTAACAGGTAGTACCTAGCAGCCTCTCTCAATAATTCCAAGAAGAGAAAACAAGCAGTTCTGTGTGCATGGTGACATTCCATTAAAAGGGTTTTATTAATCCTCAAATTCATCAACCCTACCATAGATTATACGATTCACTACACCATGTTCTTACAATCATTCAAGGGAAAACAATGGAGGATCATACAAATACAAATCGGTTTTACTGAACTAAGCTGAGAAATATCAGTCCATATTTTTAAAGACACTGATCGCAGAAATATCGGGAGTTCAACGAGTTTCCAGCTTCCAGTTTCTTGTTCTCAATCTTTCCCAGTGACCAAACAGGGCTAAGCGATGAGTCCGAAATCAAAATCCCAAATCCGTATTTGCAACTTGAGGCGTTCATCATCCAGAATCACCAAATAAACACTCGATTGAATCCGACAGAAACCAAACCCGGAAATGATCAATAGAAGGTTCTGATTCTACTGGGCACGAAAAAAAATTAAGCTTACTATCGGAATATTCTGGGAATTCGCCGCCGGCAGATATAGCTCCGGGGACGACGAACGATTAGGTCAAGATGGTGAGAGAGAGTGCGCGGGTTCAGGGAATGGATGACGTGGCCAGATACGATTGGATCAACATCGGTAGAAAGTCAACCCACCGTGCATGGGACCGTTAGGGCTATCGCCTCTTTGGTTCCTCTGGTGCGCTTCACCTCCTCCGATAATATCCCTTCCCCCCTATTAGCGTCGTTCTCACCCTCACGGTCGGGGCCACGACCCGGAAGTAAATTTACAAATCAGCCCCTTTCGTTTTCTCCAAACTACGAGATTGCCATAAACCATACTAATTTATTTGATAGCGCATAAAATGCCTATTTTTTGCATTCACGTCTTTAGGTTCAATTCTACTGGTCGGATGATGTTTTGTTCTCGTGAGTGAAATTGCAGAAATTCCATGGATTTGTTGATCCTTTCCGTGCGAACACAGTGGATACCGCCGGCGCTGGTGATTCGTACATTGGCGCCCTTCTCTGCAAGATTGTAGATGACCGATCCATTCTCGAGGTAAACAATCATCAACAGCAAAGCTTTGATCCAGATTCAGATTTTGCAATCAGGTTAGGGTTTTTGGCTCAGATTTTATCCGTTCATCTTTCTGAGTTGTAGAACGAAGCACAGCTGAGAGAGATGTGCTAAGGTTCGCGAATGCGTGTGGAGCCATCACAACGGAGGCTGAAGTTCAGAGTACGCTTAACAGTCACTAGTTTTAGTCCGGTTTTTAGGGTTTCGAGTTTTCTTCTTCTGGCTCCCATGTCTTGAGAGAACAGTTGCCGCTTTATTTTTTTGCATTCTCTTCTTTCTTGAACTTCAAGGCTTTGCTTTTTTGAGTAACATTAATGAATAACCAGTAATGTTCATATGTTATTAAGAAAGATAACTAGAAAGTCAGGCGAATCGTCAGCCTAGTCCATTTGGTAATGTGTTTTATGGAAGCGGAACGAGGGCCTGCTGGGAGAAAATGTCGGTCCAGAGCAATGTAAGTGATTCTGATTGTTCGAGCCTTGCCTTTGCTTCTAAAGTCTCCTTTACTTAGATTAGTTAACTGGTTTGATATGAAGAGATAAGCCATAATTTATCCGATCCCTCGATACTATTTCCAAGTGAATGACGATAAAGTGAGGGACAAATCGAAGGTTGTTCTGTTTCCATTCTCACACAGTGGTAACATTAGTGTTAAGTGGGTCTTTTTCCATTAGTATTTATGAAACCAATTGCTGGTTCAACATGAATATACTGAAGAAAATGGCGTCTTAATACATCTCTCGCTTTTGGTTTACTACTTTTATGATTTCGCCTAACCATCGATCAGATGGGGAACAAAGGACATAAAGCTTAATTTACTCTGGTAATTATCGCTTTCTAATAGCGAAGGGCCATCTTCCTTGCATTGATGCATCTTATTTTTGGCTTTTGTCCTCTTTGGCAGACGGTAACATTCCTTGGGCATTCCAGACAGTTATTTGAAAGGCTTCCTTTCATCAACCTCGAGAACTTAAGGAACTGCTCTGGAAGATCTCCTGTCAGGTAATTGTTGTCTAAGTATAGGGTTCTCCATGGATTCGCAAGCCTTTCCCCATACACCTTTGGAATTCCACCTGAGAACATATTGTTCCTTAGATTGATGTTCCTTAGACTTTCATAAGTGGCCAGGTTAACCGGCAGACGTCCCTGTAAATGGTTTTCTTCGGCATCAAGTATCCGCAGCCGTGACTCTCTGCCCGTAAATTTGATCACTTCTAGAGATGTGAACATGTTATAAGACACATTAAGGAGGGTGATCTCACGAAACGTGAGGAGTTCATGCCCGATGGTTCCCGAGAATCTGTTATCGCTCACATCCAACGTTACCAGCCGCTTGAGCCGATGTAACGAGGAAATACGTCCGGCTAGGCCATTTTGGCTGACGGAAAGAACCTGCAGGCTCGTCGGAAGCTTAGGCAGGGCTCCATAGAGATGGTTGTGACCAAGTTCTAACACTTGTAGCTTCCACAATCCGTTCAATGCAGGTATTGTCCCGGAGAGATGGTTGCCCGAAAGGCTGAGGCGAGTTAAACTTCTGAGCGAGGAAATCCTGAAAGGGATTGCACCAGCAAGGCTGTTCTTGGACAGGTCTATCTCTTTGAGCTCCATGAGATGTGTGATTCTCTCAGATAGTTCACCAGTGAAGAAATTTTCTGACAGAGAAAGCCGGACGAGTTTCCTCAAGGAGAAGACGGATTCTGGTATTGGGCCACGGAACCTGTTCCCGTTCAGGCTAAGGACAGTGAGTTCTGTAAGGTTACCAATGGAAGCAGACAGGAAACCATCATAGCCGCCATCGTCAAGCTCGATCTCTGTAACACGACTGGTGGTATTATCCAGCGGGAAAGAACACATAACCCCCAGGAACGTTCCTGTACCTTCACAAGGATCTTCCGAGAAGTTCCACGTACTCAGGTATGAGGGTGGAGAGATCGAGCTCGGATCAATGCTCCGTACAATGGATTCGAGGACGTTAATATCGGATTGGAAAGTCGCTGAGAGAATTGGTGAAGGGACAAAAGGGAGAAGAAGCAGAGACAGAGCAACATGAACATAGAAAAAGGATGACGATAAGGATGGTGATGATGCCATTGTTGGTCTTATTTTTTTTGTGTTTGTGTGACGACTGATGAGAAGAGTCGAAGGGTTTGCTCAGTGGACACTTCCTTATAATGCAGGTCTTCTTGCAAAGAGGGCTTTGTCGTGTTGAGCCTAATCTTCTTCTACATGTTCGAGTACGGTAATGATTCGGGCAATAATCTGTTGAGAGTTTGGTTCAATTCAGGTTGGTGAAATGATGAAGGTAATATCAGGATTTTCATGTTGGTGTAAAGAGAAATGAATCGCTTTCTGTATCTGTGTATTGTGGTTATACTGGTTTCTTTGGGCATCCATCTATGCGCATATCGCATGTTTATTAAATATAAAGAGATTTGTGACATGTCACCGTCATGTTGGTCGCGTGAATATATATATATGTATGTATGTATGTATATCATTATACATATGAAGAAGTTAGAGATGTGTGGCTCCAACGAGGAACTTAGAACCTGCTCTTTTATGTGTTGAACCATAATATATACACATACATAATACATACCATGGATGGACCCTCTTAGTCCCCTTTACTTGATTAAAAAACAAATTAGTTTTCTTTGTAAATTTTTTACAATTTTAGAATTTAATTAAATTCTTAAACTTGATTAATTATGATGACTAACTAGTAACTAAGCACTAAGCACCCTTCCTTTTTTCGATTATAACACGAAGCTTTAATGGGCTGAGCCCATTTATATTTATTCGACCTTAAGAATTGTGAGGCCTAGATCCATAATTTAGAGGAGGCGACCATTTTCTTTCCTTTGTTTAATTTTTCGGGTTGCGGTCTGCTTTCTGATTCTGGCGAAATTTTTTTTCCCGAGAAAATCTAGAAGAAGGTAGCGCGAAGAATCGAATCAACTCCCAAGTAAGGAAGATCTCTCTTGATCGTTCTAGAGAAAAACGAGGGTTGTCGGTTTTAGTTTTATCCCGGAGTTCTCTGAGGCGACATTGCTTCGCGTTTAATCCTCGGGAAACCTAATTCTCAGATCTCTGTACCTCATCTTCTCCAACGAATCAGATTTATTGATCTGATTCTTTTCAATCCGGATTTTGGGTTGTCTTTCTTGGGCTCCTTTCGAAATTTCGTGGGCTCAAGCTTTTAGCAAATTGGAAGGGCAATAATTTCCTAGTGATTCTTTCTGTTGATTATTGGAATCAAGTTGCCGGCTTTCTGTGGCTCCGACTTGAGAGAGCAAGCGGAAGAGAGGTTTGAAGAATGGGAAGGCCGTTGTTTTACGATATTCTCGAGAAGCCAGCGACGAGCTGTATCATAACGATATGTAGTGTAATATGGTTAGTGATTCAGAAGAAGAACATTGGATATTCTCAAGTGGGTTTGAGTTATGAAACCGCAGTTGAAGGGCACTACTGGAGGATAATTACATCGGCATTCTCACATATCAGCATCTTGCATCTTGTGTTCAATATGAGTGCTCTGTGGAGTCTTGGTGTTGTGGAAGAGCTCGGACATGTCGGACTTGGAATGGCTTATTATCTGCATTACACTCTTGTTCTTGTTATCCTGTCCGGTGTTTTAGTACTTGGGATCTACCATTTGTTGATAGTGAGATTTAAGATTGACTATTTCCGTAGAGTTACAGCTGTTGGGTACTCGTGCGTTGTGTTTGGGTGGATGACGATTCTCTCCGTGAAGCAACCCTCTTCAAAGTTGGATCTTTTTGGGTTTCTGTCTCTTCCCATTAGTTTTGCACCCTTTGAGTCACTCATCTTCACATCGATTATTGTTCCACAAGCCAGTTTTGTGGGACATTTGTCAGGAATCCTGGTTGGGTATGCCATATCTTGGGGTCTGATTGGTGGGATGAATAACTACTGGGCTCTTACTATGTTGGGTTGGATGTTAGTGGTGTTTGTGTTCAGTTTGAAGAAGTCTGGTGCTTATGATTTCAGATTTCTAGAGATTGAATCGGTTACTGATCCTTCTTTGCCTTCAGTGCGGTTTGTTGGAAATGGCCGGACCTTGCAAATGGGTGCAATTCCTGTCAGTGGAATGGAAGTCGTCTAAATTCGGTTCATGGCGGATTGTTACTATTGATGTCTGATCCGAAATATCGAGAGTGAGACTAATGCTTCAGCTGCGTCATGAAAGAATTGTTTATAATAAGAGTTTGCAGCCATGGCCCCTTCAGGCTCGCGTGAACTATCTGTGGATATGTTTGATGCATAATGTGGTGTCTGCCCTTCTACTTACACTTGACTTATATGGGCAGGATTTCACGTGCGCTCAAATTTATTCATGGATAGGGATTATAAAAACATGCCAACATGGTTAGATAGACAATTGTCATGTCTTATGTATATTGAAGGAGTATGGCCTCATTTTAAAGATGCTCCGCATGAGTAGCATGCTTCGCCATTTGTACCCTTTACTCATGATTTTGTTATGAAAGCCTGATTCTTGAACATTGATTTTCCTTTGGTTTATTGTAACTTTTCAAGCTTTCATCTGCTGGGCATTATTGCTAGTTTGGTAGCCGCTGTTTTCATAAGTTGGAATGTCATTTTGTTGCTCGTTTGTTTCTAATTTCAGAAGGTATTTCATGGAAGTTATAGTTTTGGATTTCATGTTTCTTGTCATACTCAAAAAGACTGTTATCGGATGATGGATTCTGGTGGTTTCTAGTTAGATTCATGTATTTCAAGCAATTTCATGCTTGTTGCTATGACTTCCATCTTGCATTCTTTCCTGTTGTAGATTCCAAAAGAAGGGTAAGATAAAAGATAGAGCAGTTACTGGACAAAAGCTTCCGATGGGTAGTAGGTTAAAGGATTTATGTGCGTATTACACAGATGAGTAGTAGGTATTAGAGTTATCTGAGTTAGATCCACTACAGGATATTTGTTTATTATTTCCAGTAACCTACTCTCAACCCAGAATGCAGTCACAAGATCTGCACTCCCCCAACTTTACAACAAGTTGTCAACAACCAGCCTCCATAGTGTTTTATATAATCTCTAAAGTGATCAGGAGTATCAGCTCTTTCTTTCTGATCCCCTGCTCTGATCACCCTGATGGAGAAGAAAGGGCAATGTGGCATTTACGACTCTTTGCTTACGCATCACCCGATTCTCCTTATCCTTGCCTTGTCTGTAGGTTTCATAGTGGTTGACCCATTTGACATGGCTCCAGTGGGGGGTCATGAGTTCAGACCTGTGAAGCACAAGATTGCTCCATACACGCGAGTCATGGAAGATTGGAAGAGGGACAACCTCAGCCGTTTGGCTCGTCATGGGAAACTGGAGTTTGTGGACGAAGTCTTCGGTCCAGAGTCATTGGAGTTTGATAGTTTAGGCCGTGGTCCATACACTGGTTTGGCTGATGGAAGAATAGTAAGATGGATGGGTGAAGCAACCGGATGGGAGACCTTTGCAGCTGTGACATCAAATTGGTAAGACTGGAATGAACTTGTTCATAGGAATGAACTTGTTCATAGGAATGAACTTGTTCAAAATCCAATTCATCTTATTCTTGTTGGTGTTGCATGACAATTAGGTCAGAGAAGGCATGTGCAAGAGGTGTTGATTCAACCACACACAAGCAATGGAAGCACGAGAAGCTGTGTGGCCGGCCCCTTGGCCTGAGGTTTGATAAACAGACTGGAAATTTGTTCATTGCAGACGCTTACTATGGTCTACTTGTAGTCGGTCCTGAAGGAGGACTTGCGACCTCTTTATCTACACATGTTGAAGGAAAGCCTATACTTTTTGCCAATGACCTTGACATCCATAAAAATGGTTCCATATTCTTCACTGACACCAGCAAGAGATACGATAGAGTGTAAGTTTACGATAGAAAAAGCTCCCCCCTTCCCCTGCTATTAGCGGTAATTTCTACCATTATCTTATGAGAAGAACTAGACATGTATTTTTAGGAACCACTTCTTCATATTGTTGGAGGGAGAAGCAACAGGAAGGCTTCTAAGGTATGATCCACCTACCAAGACAACTCACATTGTGTTGGATGGGTTGGCTTTCCCCAATGGAGTTCAGTTCTCCAAAGACCAATCTTTCCTTCTCTACACCGAAACCACCAACTGCAGGTAATTGTGAAGAAGTAGCCGTATGAAAAGATAAGGATGTGAAAATTTGTTTAAGAGGCTGGCATCTTTCATATCTTTGCAAATCGAATCATGGGTCATATGATATCAATATAGGTTGATGAAATACTGGGTGGAGGGTCCAAAGACGGGGGAAATCGAGGTGGTGGTGGATCTCCCGGGATTCCCAGACAACGTGAGGATGAACGAGAAGGGACAGTTCTGGGTTGCGATAGATTGTTGCAGAACACCAGCACAAGAGGTCCTGGCGAAAAACCCGTGGATGAAGAGCATATACTTCAGGCTGCCGATAAGGATGAGCTTGACGGCAAAGGTGATGGGGATGAGGATGTACACAGTAATATCGCTGTTGGATGAGGAAGGGAAGATCCTGGAAGTGCTCGAGGATGCAGAAGGAGAGGTGATGAAGCTTGTGAGTGAAGTGAGGGAGGTGCAAGGGAAGCTTTGGATTGGGACAGTGGCTCATAACCACATTGCCACTCTGCCTTACCCTTTGCCCTTGGGTTAGGACCTGAAATGACTCTGGAAACGTTGTGATCTAGTCTTGTTTCTTGACTATATTAGAAAGAGAAAAAAAAAGACAGATAAGGAGAACCAAGCTTTGTCCCACCATTTCTTTTTTGTCAAACGACAACAACAAGCATTTCCTAAGGACTGAAGGGTCTTGGATTAGTTCATAAGATCTCCATAGTCTTCATGCATGTTTCCAAGTATATCTCCGTTTTATCTCTTTTTTCTTTCTTACAACATAATTAAGGGACATAAAAAAAATTCTTTTGAGGAAGCTTGGTAACCACAACGAGAGTTCGACTCTCGTAAAGACCTAATTCCGGCAGGAAGAGTATAAACTGCCCACTAAAACGCCGTTGCCCTTAGCAACACGAAGATCCAGAGAGAACTACATGACAGACTACATTCCTGTCTACAGAAAAGAAACCCTAGATGGTGAGCGGGTTTACTTATTTGTGATTTAAGTTAATTTCCATTATTTTTAATAAAATTTAATAAGTTTTGATTACAGATACCCTTTACATTGTCCTCTGCTTCGTGATTAATTGCTCCAAATATTTTCCCTGATAGCGCGAGTTTTCCATAATATCCCTATCATGTCTTCATTAATTTTTCAATAAACTATAAGTAAACTAGATAAGAAAATCAGAAAAAAAAAATGTATCCAATTTCAAGGTGTAACAATTGCAAGAAGTAAATATATATATATGATTTCAATCATATTAGGAACTAATTTTTAACCTATTTATTTATAACCAAGCGTTCAATGTCTAAAATGAGGAGAGAGAGAGAACCTGTGAGGAAGGAAAGAAAGAGACGTCTACACTGTCTTGAGGTCAGTGTCTGGGTGGTAAATGGGAAAGGAGTGAACCATAAGGCGTTGGTTAAGAAGATATGAATGCAGCAGAAGCAGAAGGATTCTCAACCACCGCTACTCTTTTCAGTCCCTTCACGCATTTGAATAGAATCCACCCTACTTGATGGACTTCAAGCTCGTATTGCTCGTAGATGAAGAACACTGTGAATGCCATTGATAACGCTGCCACCAAATGTTTAATTCATTGGGGTGCCGAATGCAAAATCAACCAATACACCATGACATATGGGATGTGTGCGTGTGCATACATACCGGCGAAAAACAATGTCGCCAAGGAGTGCGACAAGATCAGCCTTAGGAGATATAACGAGCCTGCCACCTGTGTCGGTTCAACCAATAGTGAAAAAAGGGTTTTAGACTAATTTTATCGATATCTTCAACAGGCTGTAATTTAAAGGTAAGACATGGAATTGTTGTACCTTTAAGAACATGCTCCAGTCCCCTCCCCTGCCTAAAGACTTTACATTTCGGACACCGCGGTTCCATGCAAACACGATATTTCTGCTGAGATCTCTCATTGCTGACTCCGATATCTCAAAACTCCAGGGAGGTATCTTCTTTATCGGAAAACCCAATCTGTGGAAACAGCATCTTTAGATTGCATGAAGCAAAGGTTTTAAAAAGAGGATCATATATACATGGACATATTGTGGGGAATAAAAACATTTCCAGATGTTATGAATAGCTCAACTGTCTGATAGGACAAATGCAGAATGTAATTAACAATAGAGAATGCCAGATTCCAGATAAGGGTGTGGAAATTTCACTGCTTTTTACATTCGTAGAGATGGAGAAAGAAATATAAAAATTCCAAGGATATTGTATATTATATAACATCAAACCCATACTTACATGTTCGATGGTGCGATGCTATGTCCATAAAGAACGATGGCAAATAGGAACAGAAGTTGGGTTGTTGAAGAAGTCAATGATTTTCCAGAAATGAAGAACCAGTAATATAAGATGTTCAGGAGAACAAAAGAAGTGAATGTTTTCTTCTCATCTCTCCACAACAAGATGTCTGCAACTGCACGAACATAATTGAAAAGTTTATAAAAGTTAAAGAGGACAAAAAACCTTGCAACTAATACATTACCGTCTAAGCTAAGTATAATTTGGGAATCTATGACGTTACAAAAGCCTCTTAACATTTTGGCATATATAGTCACAGAAGTTATAGAGCATTGTAATTGAATGTGAAACTAAGTACATATCAGAGCTTAAGGCATTATAATCATGATTAGGGAAGTGATTCGAACCTTTTCCACAACCAAGAAGCTTATCAGCTTTTGATGGGTCAGTTGAATCATCAGAACTTTCATGTGCACGAGAGTACCACTGAAGGGTTGATGCTATACCATCCTACAATACCGCCAATCAAGGAGTTACAAAGGTGCTAATGGCTACAAAGACAGCTTTGCGTGAAATGTCAATCTCAAAGGTTTGAAAACCTGAATACGGGGCGAAACAATAATCATCCAATATAACAAAGAAAAATCTAAACGAAACTCACTTCAAGTGTTACAATAGGTGAATAACCAATATGCTTCTTAGCTGCATTGCAGTTGAAAGTCCTCGTATGGGAAGCTAACAGAATAAACTGATGTGCTGCATCATAAGAACTGCCAAAACCAAAGCCCATTTTTTCTTGTGCCCATTTAAGAAGAGAAAAACACCCCAAAACCAGTTGAACAGGGATTTTGGTGGATGGTCTGCAATTAAAGGGAAGAGAAAGATAGAATCAGGTAATCCAAAAAGTCAGCTGTAAACATGTTGAATATTTAAAAATGACCAAACTTAAGAAATATGACATACAAACACATAATAATGTAGCACACAGAATCACCATGTACATAAGTCATATGCAAACTACTCGAATCATCTTATGAGAAGTACGATATGACTCGAATCTGTCAAATCAAAATCTTAAGAATGCAGATGCTTTGAAATAGGAACATTCATGTTGGATTCAAAAGCTCCCTGGTGTTTCTAAAATGGCGTTCGAGCTACTCAGACACTTCATAATCAGGAAATGCCAAGATAAATCAACAAGATTCGCAACGAACTATTATTTGAATGGTCATTTACCTTGGGTACCCCAAACCCTCATTTATGTGGGTAACAAAGTCCCAAAACCTCACTGGCTTGAGGTTAGTGATGAAGAACTCCTACAAGTGATTAGAATGAAATATCTCCATCACAAATCAAGATTTTCCACTTTTAGGAGTGGTTTAGCTAATGAACAAGAGCCATGGTTACCTTTCCAGCCACGAACTCTGCTTGTGAATCTAATGCTTCTGCAGCACAAATATGTGCATGGGCGACGTTCTCGACATAAGTGAAATCAGACATATTTTCACCTTTTCCAACTATAAACTGAAAGTTCAAAAACGAAGGCAGTCACTACCAAAGAAAAATCAAGAATGCCACAAGTGCTAGAACATATGACATCGGAAAAAAATAGGGTAGATATCAGGGGGAAAATGCATACAACAGAAGCCATTGTATATATTAAATCAAACACCTTGATCAAATTTAAAACGTTGGATAATTTGATGCAAGAAGAACTGCAGGCACAATAATAGTTATAGGGTCTTGCCTATCTATATCATTCTTCGGTTACTGATGAGAAAATCGTGAGATGAATGGATTATATTCGACATGATTAAAGATACCATGCCATGTATGCGTATTTAAAAGAAAATGTTTGAAAATGTTCTTACACCTTTGCATATCCAGATTTGGTAAGATCCCTTAGGGAAGGAACAAACTCCGTGTCACCAGGTCCAAATACAATGCTAGGCCGAAGCGCGCAAGTCAAAAGACTATCCTGGTCGTTGGCAAATGTGATCAATGCTTCTGCTTGAGCTTTAAAGTCCGTCAACATGGACTGGAACTGCACATTACTCAGACAGAAACATATATCATTTCCAGATCAACAATAAAGGAAAAACAATATAACAATCCACGTGTAGGGCATACCTGGCAGGGACATCTCAAGGATTCATCACCATCACGTATATCTTGAGAACCATTAAAAACAACATCAGCGGTGCTGTTGTAGACAAGTTTTCTGACTCCAGTCTCACGGCAAGCAGAAATCACATTCCTCGTACCTGTCAGAGACAACTGACAATCCAATTTACATCCAGACGCATAAATGCAAGCAACATTACCCGCATAAAATAACAAAAAGCTTACCTTTAACTAAAACCTTGTAGCAGTAATAGTAATCATTTGAGCGTAAATCAGAGGCTCCCATGTAAAATACAACACAGGAACCCTCGGTAGCTGCAAGGAAAAACTGTTACAAATCTTAGCCAAACATCTGATACATCCCCAGAGCTGTAAGCAATCAGTCAAGGAGAGAGCAGAAGGAGACAGAGAAAATAAGCTCAAGACGAGAACGTATAATTTTCATGCAGCTATCTCATTTTCAACAATCTTCCCCTCAAACAAGAAGCATTCAGCCGATTGATTGATTAACATATCAAATCTATACTAGGTGAGGAAAGTTAAATCCTCATATCCGACTATTCTTCCGCTGCATTTTCCCATAAACCAAACGCTAATCCGCAAACATCCACCAACTCCCATATTCAACAAAATGCTGAAACTGAACAATAATAAACGGGAAGCAAAAACCTCTAACGATTTGAGATTTATCGCGGACATCGACGGAGTAATAGGAGGCACGGCCGGAGGAGAGAGCGTGCTCGAGGAGCGAATCAGACTCGTCTCCGGAGTAAAGTTGGAGCGACCGGGCAGAATCAGCGACTCGAACGATCCAGCTTCCGCGTCGAAGCAACCTGGAGACGAGCGATCGACCGATGAAGCCTCGGCCACCGAGAACGACACACGTCTTCAGATGAGAATCGCCATTGACAGCGTCACCCTCCATCGTCATCGCTGAATCGACGACTTCCTCTCTCTCTCTCTCTCCCCCCCCTCTCTCCCCGCAAATCGGCGTCTGTAGAGAGAGAAAGAGCCGGTTCGAGGATCAGTAGGTGGGAAGTGGCAGAAAGGTAAATACTATTTTAGGGGATTGCTTGACGTTAAAACTCCGATCGCATTTTAGCCTCTTTGCTAATTACTAAATTTAAATAAATATTTCATAATAATCGCGAAAACAATACCTCAATTTCAACTATTCATTGAATTTGCATTATACGGTATTAGGATCTGTTAGTGTGTTACTATAATAATGACTAACCGTCGCATATAACCCTTAATTAATGAGATTACCTAAAAATAAGTAATACTCTTCCCCTTTCTTAATAACTGTCGTTTTAAAGATTATTTTTTATTTTTAAATAGTTGTTATTTTAGATTTTTTTTAAATGATTTTTAATTAAAAAAATTAATTTTATCTTTAACTAAAAATATCAAATTTTAATATATAGATATAATTTAATTTAAATCTTTTTAAAAATTATGAAAAAATCTAAAACCATGTTTATATTAAAATTTAAAACGGATGGAGTAATATAATAACCCTTCACGTTTAGACGTTTAGTTGAAGTAAGGTGAACTGAACCCATCAAAGGATCAGCCCAACAACTCTATCGTGTTTCCCAATACCAATTTGATAAATTCTATAATATATATTATGTGTATTTTTTTAATTTAATAATAAGAGAAATATTACAGCTGAAATTAAAAAAAAAAATTGGGCCAAATGAATTTGGGGGGGTTTGAAGGAGAAGGGAAAAAAACACATAAGGGGTAAAAATGGGATTATTTCTTGCAGGTGGTATGGTCTGGGCACCGGCAATGTTTTTCTTCTATACAAGAGACCAGAACCATACTTCAGAAATGATCTGTGGCTCTGAGCATGATTCTCAAAGCCTCGGATTCATCCGCAGTGTCCGGAATCCGCAACGACCTCCTGATCTCTTTGCTGTGACTTCTCAGGAACGGATTGCAAGCTTTCTCCACCTTCACGCTCGTCGGAATCTGAACCCAGCCCGTTAATTAAAAAAAAAGATCGCCTTTACGATGATATTCGGGGAAGTGCAGGAAACATGGAATGGAAGAGAGGGTTCGGGAGAAATTTACCGAGGGGAGACCCTGGCTGCGGAGATGGGCGACTTGGGTTGCATAGGATTGAAGAATTCCGTTCTTTGGTTCTACCGACAGTGCGAACTTCAAATTGCTCTGACGAGAAAGTGAAAGATACGTACGTGTTATTATATCTGTACTGACGATGATGGTCACTGTAAAGTGAATAAAGATACCACAAAACTAAAGGAAAACATTGAATTGCATTACATTAGATGAGACAAAAGCTGAAAGCATACCACTGTGTTTTCGTGACCGCAGTATATCCTTGTATCATCCGGCAAAGACGTTACCTTACGGAGCGACGAAAGCATCTGAAAATCGGTGAAAGCTATCTAATGGTCACTGACGTAAAATCATGAAAAGGGACAGAGAGAGAGACAGCATATGATGTGGTGAAGTTCACTTCTATAGTCAGTTACTAGATTCTGCTGTCCCCTATGTTAGGCTAGCTTTGCATAGAAGCCGAAAACAAAGTTAGCATCACGATGGCATGTTAGAGAGTGGGTCTTTAGTTACTATTGCAACTTCACTAATCTCACCAATCAATGGTTAATTCAACTCACCTCTCTCAACTTTCAAAACTTCAGATTCTTGTGTTCTACAAATTCAAGCTTCAACTTCATAAACTTGATTCTCATAATTTTCTTCAAAAACCCACCTCTATAAACTCCGTATATTAGAACCTTAACTCATTTGACTCCCTTAGCACAATTGGTAAACATTCAGAGCCAATTCACCGTAGTTTCGAGCAATATTTACCTGCTCAGGGGTGCCTTCGGAGAGCTTACCGCAGGATAAGCTATAGATCAGGTCTCCTGTGAATATGGAAGCTGAGCCGGGAAAGTAGAAACTAACATGGCCTGCTTGCAAATGAAAACAAATAACAGAAGGGTCCGGAGAAGAAAGGTGACAAATCATTTCCACCACATGTTTCTACTGAATTGACATTCGATTCCTCAAGATACCGTCCAGGGTATGGAAACTAGATGAACCACTGGCTTGATACCCTATAAATTTTCATATAAGAACGCGAGTTTTTTACCATTCGAGGCAGTTACCAACCTTGGGTATGGCCAGGAGTTTCAATCACTCGAACTTCATGCCCCGCAAACATCCATTTGTCACCATCGCCCAGAGCAATGTCAATACTGGGAATCCGATCCTTATCCACAGCCGAACCAATCACCTGTAGTAACATTATTAATATACAACAGCATGAAGAACATATCACAGAAACAACAAAGAACATAAGCTCAAGAAGACCAGCAAGCAGAACCACGAAGGTTCACTCAACAATTAAAAGTTGTATAACTCAATCCACTACACTAAAAGACATAAATTACACAGCTATTAATGCCAAATGATTCAACGTGAGATAAAGCTTAAAAGAACTAACTTTTGATGGATTCTCTCTCAGGATTTTGTTAAAAAGGAACCTAGGCAATAGCCGCAATACCAATACAATGCATGTTTAAAACCGAAAAAAAAGGACAGAATCCCCATACCTTTGCTCCGTACCTTTCTTTCAATTCTGCATTCCCCCCGGTGTGATCATCATGGTGATGAGTATTCAATATGTAGGTCAAATTTCTGTTTTTCCTGCTCAATGCCTCGATAACAGGTGCAGCTTCAGAAGGATCGACAACCCCGACTGTGCCAGTATCTTCATCGTGCAAAAGATATGCATAGTTGTCTCTCCGGCATGGCACCTGAAATAACAACAACAAATTGAAGAAACACAGAAAGATCATTTGTCACATTCTCAATCACATCAAACCAAATATTAACAAAGCCGGGTTTTTTTTCCAAAGAACTATGCCCAACCACACCTTCAGCATGACAAGGTAAACTGTTAGAAAACAACAACAACAACTAGAAAAGCATGGTCATACTAGAATCAGAGGAAATAAACAGACAAGCAAAGAGTTGAGAAAAGAGACAGCTAACCAGTTCGATTTTCAATGAGGTCAAGTTAGAGATGCTGCAAAAATGGGCAATCCTAAGGGTTCGGCTGGCTCCACGTAACGTTTTCAGTGGCATGGACAGCAACCACATTACTCCATACAAAAGACTTTTTCTTAGGCAGAGTTGTCTCAAGCTCGGCCACACACAGAGCTGACCCCCAATCTGTTTCATGGATAGATCGATCAATTACAGTATGAATACTACAATATCATCAAAATCTGGCATGATTAACAGGGTTGGACAAGGACAGAGATGAAAGAGAAGATCGACACAGTCCCATAAGCAGCATAACCAAAATGGCAAAAAAAAAACAGAATTCACCAAACCCATCTTAATTGTCTTAAAAGCATTAGCTCCGACACTAACTCGTGAAAGCCCATTCGCTCAAACATGCTTGCAACAATTGTCTCATCAAGCAAACAAAATCAACAACACTACTCTCGGTGAGAGAGACGGAACACATTGTTAAAACGTGGATCACTGAAGTACAAAACCCTAAAGCCCCAATTTTCCCTCATCAGAAAGAGAGAGAAAAATCAGAAGCGTAGAGATCATCGGAACAATACACAGCTCAAAAAGCTAAAAGCCCAAAACTTCGAGCCAGAAATCAGAGAGCTAGGAACAAGCAAACGACAGAAAACCCAGTAGATCGGATCGGGAAATCTTTCAAGCCTCGAAATTCAACCGGGAAAGAAGCCGAGGGGATCAAATAAAATGGATAGGGAGAGAGAGTAAACCCTAGAGCAAGAAGGAATCGAAGACATGGAAGAAGAAGAAGAAGAAGAAGAAGTCTTGGAGAACATCTGCATAACCCACTCAATCCCTCACCGAGGGGGGTTGTTCAGAGAGAGCGAGAGAGATGGTTCGTTTCAGGGCTTTGCGCGTCGACACAGCCAGAATTTTGCTCCCTGGGCTTTTGTGATGACGAGCTTGCGACTTCGACAAGAGAGAGAGAGACAGCTTTCACTCCTCTTTCCTTTTTGCTTTAATTTTTTTTTCCGCGTTGAGTCAAATTAGTTCAACCTTTTGCGTTTTGGTTTGGTTTTATAATGATGTGATAAACCTGTGATTAATTACCGCTTAATTAAATTCACTAAGACGATTGCGACTAACTTCGGTTAAAACTATAGAAAACCAAATAAATTACAGTAGGAGGAATAATAAATAAGACCAAACCAATACATTACAATTGTAATAAAATAATAGAGATTATAAATATATAGAAGGATCATGTGATTGGATCGTACGTTTGCAATTAATACAACACATAAATGAGAGCAGAGTGAGGAAAAAGAACACATGGAGATTTAGGTGTTAAGGGCCATTATTATGATTACATGTTATGTTTTTTCCTGACACTACACATGATCCTTCACCTCACCCGCTTCCATTTTTTTTTTTTGGTGCGTTGTCTTTATCACGCCATTCAACCTATGATCAATTAATTCGGATTTAGTGATTATATATAATATTTTTTTAAAATAAAAACTTATATTTATTTTTAAAAAAAGTTTAAATAATATAGATTTCAAACAAATCTATCGTACTTTTTCAAAAATACAAAAATAATGAAAAAACTTTAAATTTAAACTTTAACAATAAATAAATAAATGAATGGTCAAATTATCAAAATTTTATGGAGACTTGGTACCAAAAACATTTTTATTGGGTCGTTATCAGATCACGTAGGCGTAAAGGTAGAACTGTAAATAATGAAAACTATGATTTTGATTGTAAAATTTATTACTTCCAATCTCCGTAACTATCTTTGTAACATTAGCCAGTTAGCCATTATATCAAAATCAATATTTTCATAACATCCAATAATCCGATGAGAACAACTGCGGCACCAAATACATGCGACAAATCACTTCATAGCCTACCTAATTGCTTATCTATTTGTTATATATATATATATATATATATATATATATATGTGTGTGTGTGTGTTCTTTGTAATGTCGTCAATAACTATGATAGAATTTTAAACACACACACATACATATATATATATATATACCATTGAATCTATACATACACATACACGGGTAAACTCCAAATCAAGATTTAACAAAAGGAGGAACAAGTCTTTCCATTTACCAACCAATCCAAAACCACGTTTTGAATCATTGAAAGAACGGGGAAAAAAACAACCTCCTAAGAAAAATACAAAGCCACATCAAGAACGTTGAGAATTTCAAAATAGATAAACCTCAATATAGAGTTTCCATCTGGTCTGGGAAAGCTTTTGACCTCACAGATCTTGTACACTCAGACCTGCAACACCATCATACAACTTCAAAAACTCAGTTTTAAGGATTGTAGCACAGTCTTATCACAGAAATCATTCGATTCTTTTACCATGTCTATGAATCGGTAAATGACTGCAATTAACATAAAGATTGAGCGTACAGGTCTTAGATAATTTCATGACAAATATTACAAGGATATACGGTCTTCATTCATGCCGTGATTCCAATTTACTTTAGGCATACTCAAACATGCTATTCCACGACATCCACAAAGACCCATACTTAAGATAATTTCATGACAAATATTACAAGGATATACAGTCTTCATTCAAGTCATGACCAATTTACTTTAGGCATACTCAAACCGGCTATTCCTCAACACCCACAAAGACCCAGATACGAAAACTGAAAACTTTGCGTGCGGCAAAATTTGAGAGAGTGTGTTCCATACTCGTACAAAAGCATAGAGAAGAGATGGGATTAACCTGGAGGAAGAGACTGTTTCAACTTATCAGCCTTCTCTTGGTCAAATACACAGAGCGTGTAGAGGTACTTGGAGCATCGGACCTTGAACTTGACAACGTCTTTGCTTCGCTTGATCTTCACAGACCGAGCATCCTTCCTTCTGGCGGTGAGGAGGAAATCTTTAATCTCATTGATTTGCTTAGGCTGCAGATCACAACCACACACACGGAACAAATATCATCCCTTCAGTACAAAATCCAGTATCCACCCAGCATTTGAAGTTCAATGGTGCATGACTAAATCGCAGTTTCCTACACCGATTTTGTTCACACCTTCTGAAATTCTTTTAATATGATTTTAACTAAGAACACTAACTTGCAAACACGATTCTGAGGAAAACCACATTAACTCGCCTCTCTTCCACACTCATATCCTCTCTTCGATCAAATTAATACACATAGCTGACAAAATCATTCAAACTCCACTTGAACAGTTCAACCTAACAACTACAGAGAGAAATCAACTCAAAACCATATAATCTACCACCAGGACAAACAGAATCTGAATAAACACTACAAAAGGAGGGCACCAAAAACCTAGACGTAGATGATCGGAAAGGACTAGAAGAACAAATGCTTCGACGCCGATGGAGAACGAGAACAATCGAATTCACCGAGAGATACAGAAAGACGAGAAACAAGTGACATCACCATTTTTTCGAATCTCTGTCTTCTCCTCCGCAGATAGCCGTCGGGAGAAGGAGACCGCCGTAACCAACGCTATTTATATGAGGAAGTGTAAACCAAATCACGAAAACAACCCTAGAAGCTGGTCTTCATAACTACATGGACCCAACAACAACGTATCAAAAGAATCAGGCCCCTTCATTTTAAATTATTTTGGGCTTATCAGGCCCATTTTTCTTTATTAATATTTGGGCTTTAAAGGCCCAACAAAGTGTAACTGCAGTCCAATGGCGTAGGCCTCGAGTAATCTGTTTCTCAGACAAAAAACCCAGAAGCAAGAGGACCACACTTGTCTTGATGGCATCTTTCTTTTGTCATTTTCAAATGGATTTATGAATAAAATGTCTGATCTGACTGAGACCATGAAGTGGTCGGAACTAATTTACGCAGGGGGGATTCCTAAACCCTGAAGAAAGAAGAAGAAGAAAAATCACTGAATGCTAATAACTGAAGATCACTGAAAACTGTTCATCACTAAGCACAAAACCCTAGGGTTTCTGTCAGAACAGAGCAAGAATACTGATAACAACGGCAAAAATGGATGAACCCGACCAGTTCCTTGATTCGCAAGCTAAGATTTTTTCTGCTGAGACGGCGGTAAGGAGGGTTGCATCGGTAATCCTGAAAAGTGAATGATGGTGTTTACAAGCTCATGTTCCATCTTCACCGGGATTGGTGGCATTTGCTTCATCATCTCAGGTTCATCATTGTCAAAGCTGCGAGGTCGAAGCAACGATGGATGTAATCTTTTTTTTTTCCTCGGACATGAAAAAAGAGAAGAAATTTTACTGTGCTCAAGTTACAGAGAGCGAGCAGCAACACGTACTTGTCGAGAAGTTTCTGTATGTTATCCCGGACTTTGGAGAAGTGAGTGATGTTCTTTTTGAGCTGAAAAGAAAGTTTAACAATGGTTAGTTTTCTTGCCATTGTCAATCATAATGATCAGTTTAAGCAGCCATTCCCCTCACGCAAAAACGAGAAGGGTTTTCCGGCTATATATCGACAGTTAAAAGAGATATCGGAAGCATGAATCCAAAAGAAAAGAACAAAAATGGAATGGAACTAAACTTGGTATATGTACATTTCACCTTTAAGGATGCAAGATTTCCAGAAATCTCATTGAACATCTGCTCATTTTCTCTAAGAACCTCGCTAGTGGCCCCTGCAACTATTGCAAACAAGTGGGTAAACACATCGCAAGATCTTCGACGATGCCCTCATTACTGTTATCGGTGCATTAGAGTATTGTTATGATCATGTCTGAGAAGAAAAACAGATTAAGCTGTTCTGAGATTTGCATTAGAGTTAGAGACCGTCCAAGGTTCCTTTTACGTTTTGAAAATACGCGAAGAAGAAGGCTACGGAAACTCACCACAAGTACGAAAGAGACTTACCAAGTGCTGTAGGAACAAGAGGTGGTGCAAAGATCTGATTGTTGGTCTGGGTCACTAACCCAGATGAGTTTGAAGCATCAACAGTTCTTTCCTGACAAAACAATAGATTACAATCTTTAATGATATCGGAAACCAAAGATCAAGACCCTTTTGGCAAATAAAATCTGTTTCCCATTTAAGGTTCAATGAATCACAGAACTAACAATTACCGAATTGAAACCATTCATAATATAGAAAGATATCAGAAACCATGAGTGTAGAAACAACTGCAGGGAGGGAACAGAACAGAACAATAATGTCTTGTACCTTTTTGTCTCTGCCTCTTCTTGATAAACTCCGGTCTTCTTTTCTTCTCTTCCCACTTTCTTTTTTCTGGGACAAACAACAAACCCGAAGAATATCTTTAAAGAGAACGCATCGTCTTTGAGTTGCCCAGGAAATGATCGACCAAATCGAGTCACGTAGATAGATAATAACTCTCCTAAATGTTTATGACTCATGTAACTGTACGTTTTCATGCAAAATTTTTCAATTTCTGCCCTCCTTATCACCCGAAAATGGCCATGATTGTAGTACTGAATAACGAAAGGACAAAACTTTTTCTTTTTGAAAATCCGAAAATTCACCGGCCCTTCGGCCCAATTACATCAAATAGAGAATCGAGTAAGTCCAGGAGGTGAATATACCTTTCCACGATTGAATTTGAACCCAAAATAAAAACATGTTTTGTATATTCTTTTACGGCTAGTTCATCCAAACTTGGGTGAAAGGACGAAAGTTTCGTGATGGAAAGGCTTACCGTCATCCACCTGCATCGCAGGGCAACATCTCTGATAGTCTTGTTACGAAGCTGCATCGCGATTTTCGCGTAACGAGAGAGATTTGATTCCGATGCATACCTTCACATGATTATTATCAGAGGAGAGCTTGTCAAACGAGTTAGCTGTTTCAGCAGGGGAACAAGAAACTGGAGGATTCTAAAAGCATCGCTACACCGGAGCCATTCAGATTCAGATAGTTAAAATCAACTGAAATTAATCGAACCATGCTGAATCGTAAAAAGATTTTCATAATTCGAAAGGGGCTTACCTCACCAAGCCGTCCTCCAGAATCGCCTGCTCGTCGGGGGTCCACTCCATGGAAATTCCAGGGTTATGCATCATACCCGACGTCTCCGCCGTCGGATTGCCGGAGCCGTTGATTCTCCCGGCGAAAGACGACGACGCATGCCGATTTCTCTCATCATGCGCTCCCAGTGGATTCTCCATCAAGCTCCCACCACCCGCGAAAGCCACTCCCAGAGAGAGGCAAAACAAAAAAACACAAACCTAGATCCCCAAAACTCAAAATTTCAGAATCGAATCCCTAACTCTCGCGATCAGAACCCTGCCGCGTCTCAGAGGACCCCAATCAGAACCCAGAAGGTTCCCGCCAAAGGGTAAACGGGGACGTTACGGACAGAAACTACAACAGGTACTGATTACGGCAAAGACAGCTGTGGGCGGCGAAGCGAATCACAACTTTGTTTCTCCTCCGTTTTTATAGGTATCTCTCCGTCTCGTGCGGAGAATGAAAAGCGAGCTGTACGGAAAATTCAAAGGCACCTTCGAAGCTGAAAAAGCCAGAGGCTTTTTATTTATTTATTTATTTTTTGTTTCACATCGTTTTCTTAAACTTCTCTTCTTCTGTCCTTTTTCTCTCCCTTTTGCTCTTTCCGTCTTTTGAATTGGAAAAATAGATATATACAAAGGCAGATGCATATATGTATATATCTGCGCTTGTATGTGTAGGCTGTCACAGCCTGACATTTTTGGTCAAATAGTTATATGATTTCCCATAATTGAGAAGACAACCGTAAAAGATATCATCAAATCATTGCGCAGTCCACATCACAAACCTTATGTTATACGTTTTTTTTTAATATTATTTCTAATGTCGTGTACTCTGAAAATTCATATTACAAGTTTATTGATGCAGAAATTTCACATATATATATATATGTGTGTGTGTATATATAATATTTGGAAAAGTGCAATTAAGAGAAACGCATTGAGTTGGGTTTCAAAGGAAGCAGACAAAAATGGGGACTCCGTCTTTGTCATAATTTTCCAGCTGTTCTTTTTCCCTAATTAATTAATTACTTCATAAGATGACATCCTCTCATGTTTGTTTTCTTTATTTGTTTAATTAATTATCGCATTTGCATGCAACGTATTTATTAAGCCCGGTTGTTATTTTCTTCTTTACTGGTAGTAATGATATTTTTTTGTTTTGGATTTTAAAATAATTATATTTGACGCTTATGTTATATGAGCCATCATCAGTCCATATCTTGTCGTTGAGGTTCCATCAAGAGAATAATACCAAGTCATTTATATAATTCCATGTTTTGAGGATGCAAGACATTTTAATAAATAAATAAATAAATAAATAAAATTTGCACACTTTTTTTAAGTTGAAGTTTATAATATTTAAACAACTACAAATGTACTAATTAAAAGTGTATGCAATTATTACTTTACTTTAGGGTAATGCGAGAGGTTGACGATTGCATGATACTCTCGTTGACCTTCTTTTGATTCTAAAAGTGATCCGAGGAAAATGGGTTAGGAATTAAGTAAACACTAAAAATTTATTGATTTTATGCATCAATTTATTGAAAAAAAAATGATGTAATTTGTTTACCAATAAATTAAACTGATTTGGAATGACGAATCATGTGTTGCTTCGGTCGGGAAGTCCCCAACTCTACTAGTTAGTGAGAGTCTACCCTTACACAGGGTCGTAGGTTCGAAACCAACTGAGGCTAAACTTTTCTTTGAATCGGTCAATTTCGACTGATTTATCTGCTCTACGTGGTTTGTCGGTCATTGCGCAGGGTCAGGAGTTTACTGTTGGCATACCAACTGTCGAGGATTGGGACGGTCGGGGCCCGGTCCGAAAGACCGTATGACGGGTTCCCACCAGTATAAAAAAAATGTGTTGCTTCGGTCGACAAGAGTTATATATATAGAGAGAGAGAGAGAAATTTCAAGGCACGTTAGTGAAGGTTCTAAATTTACATTTAGGAGGGTCCATCTCTATGGTGACTACAAAAAATAAAAAGCGTTATTAACTCCAGATTTGTTAGGATGCATGAATAATTAAGGTTCATGTACGTATCTGTATTGTATCTATGTTGGTATTGAGTGGTTTTGGAAATCAATCGCTAAGGACGTGAGGATCACGAACGCAGCAGTACAACAATTTTCTACTGATATAGAGTATCTATATTCATATATAATATATGTCAGACTTGGAAGATATTTAAGCTATATATATATATATATATATATATATATATATATATATATCTCAATTTCGCTTAGGGTAGTGAAAAGAGAGTTGTTGTCATGGGAATTGGGAAACCAAACGAACGACGCGCAGAATCCGAGCTGAGGTCACACAATGCCGTCGCCACGTCGTTGCTTCACCAAGCCTCAAACCATATACATGACCTCCACACATATAACATATATATATATGTGTGTGTGTGTGTGTGTACATAATAACCTATTATGATACAAACAAGTTCTATGTCGTCTTTAATATTATGATATTATGCCCCGAAAAAGAAGAAGAAAAAAAACAGAGACTATGAATTTGTTTCACAAATAAATCTCTGTGTACCATGCTCTCTCGGTTTTATTACAAGTAACGGTTGGGCCAAAGGGCTTCAACGACTACCGCACTTCTTTCCTGTATGCGTGTGTGTGTTTCTAGATGAAAACTCTCTGATATTCACATGAACAATAAAAATAAATAAACAAATAAACTCTCGCACTAGAGGGAGTGGAGACCGACGATTTTCATTTTGCCTAACCTCTGGCTGCAAGCGAGTCCCCAGATGAATGAATGATTGTGAACTTCACTTCACAGCCTCCTCAAAACTCTTGCTCCTGGTGCCTTCAATAAGAGACAAAAGTGAATACAATGGTAGAGATGCTTCGGGCTGTGCATTTTTTTACCAGCCAGACCAAAACAGTGTTGCAGAACTGACATACAAAAAAAAAAAAAAAAGTGTCGCCACTATACAATCCAAGCCATATGATATGATCCTACGCTTTTCCTCCTAGTCCTTGGTTGGATGAACATCAGGTTTCTATAAAAGTGGCGGCGAAACTACAACACCGACTCATCCCAGCAGAAACCACACAATACTGGTTGAAACAAGCAGATAAAAACAGTTTGCCGACACTTCCCGTGTATTTGGAAGGAGTTACGAAAAGAGAAAAAATCGTCACTCGAATCCAAGTTTCATGGCGCATGGACACGTTCTTTTAGCTCAAATAAAATGGTTACCTCAGAAGGTCGTCAAACATGATGTGTGCACAGATCAAAGCATGGATCTTCTAATAGCAAACCCCTTCTTGGAAAGATGCCCTAGTTATTTGAACTTTTTTCTTTTTTGATATCTTAAGCAGCTAATGCACCCGATGGTCGAAGGTGAGCTCTAGTTCAGTCACCATTCTGAGTGGCAGGGGCTATGCTGTACACTCGGTCTTCCGCTCTGGTTCTCATCAAGGCCCTGAATCTCCTCCTGGATTTGATTCTCTATCTCGGTTTCGTTCTGAATTTGGTCCTGATTGGGATTCTGAGACTGATTCTGGCTCTTGGTCTTGGTTAGCTGATTCTAACAAGAGTTTCACAGTTAGACTAGGAAAAGGAAGAACAATGAGATGTGTGATGATGCAGGAAAACTTTCGCAATGTAGCACATAATCCTTCTGCTACTGGCATTTGCGCTTTTGGTTAATTTCGATAACAGAAAAAAAATTATGTACATATTCTATACATTATATCAATATATGGAAGGATACTAAAATTCTGCAACGATTTTCTGGAGATGTAAAGTTCCAAAACCCAAGAAGATGATTTCCGAACACAAAGAATGGAAGAAAAAAGAGGCACCAAGAGAACAGGAAGGAGGTAGCAACTTGTTGAGCATCTAACCTTGTACATGTATTTCTTACGAAGTTTGATGGCAGTGCGTATGCATCTCCTCACACGAATTACCAGCAGCTTATCATTGAAAATCTGCAAATATATCGAATGAGGGCAATTTCCAGAATCACCACAAAAGCATCTCCTATGCAAGTTGTGAAGAGGCATAGTAGAGCATCAAGCAACACAAACAAAGATTTCGTGACCCTAAACAGGTGGACAATAGGGAGACATTCATATAAAATGGCAGCACAGAATATAATTTAGCAAGAAGATGAAAGCAGAGAACAAAGATCAATCACAACCTAACCACCCCTTTAACGTGTCAAAATAATGCCTATTTGCATATTCTAAGGAAAGGACTCACAATAGCAAAGATGACCACAAATTATAACCCAAGGCCTCTTTGACAAACGAAACTTGCGTGAGATTACACAAAAGTCTAGAACATAGGGCTGCACTCTCTGCATATGCATGCAGATCTCTACATGTACAGAGTTAGAGGCTGAGAAAAAAAACTTAGCATTCATATAAAGAACCAAACTACACAGTGAAAATAACCTACCTTTATCATGTCATCAATTGAGCGGGTTTCTTTCATGATTTTATGCCGATTCATGATTAAAATTGCGGCCACACAAAAGACAGGAAGCTCATCATCCCCCTTTCTGAACGATGACACTACAGAAGCGACATTCGTTCTCTCGTTCCTTGACCACAAGCTCCTTGTCAAGCCACAGAAATTATATGCAGATGCTGACTTCATAACAGCATCATCAGACACTGCACTTGTCTTTGGCAATGGACCACTTTTCGGTAGCAGACCGCTCTTTGATAGCAGACTGCTCTTTAACAATGGGCCGCTCTTTGAATTTGGCCCGCTCTTTGGAGTTGGTTCAGTCTTTGTGCTATTACAATTTCGATCATCTATGTTTTCGTCCACAACTTCCTCTCCAGGTTGTCTAGGAAGCTGAACTACCAACGGCTCTAAGCAGTCATTCTCCAAAGTTCCAGCGATAGACTCATCAAAATCAGCAGCCCACATCATCTACATCAGACACGAACCCATAAATAAAATTTCCAAGCTACATGTTAGGAAGATTCTTTTCAATGTGACAAGTGAAATCAACACACAGATAATGTACCAAAGAGGTTTAGTGGTTAGAAGCTGGAATAGTCCACGACTATACATACTTTCTATTCATCCTAGTTCACATAAATTAACTACCCCCTTTAAAAATCAATTGCTAAATGTATTTTATGCTGCGCGCAAAATTAAGGCATGAATTCTGTGCAACACTTCAATGACCAAATTCAAATATTATCAGGAGTGAGCCATAATTGCATGTAATGAATCTAAATATCATATTTCTAGCACGGAAATTAGTTGTAAACATGGAGTTATGAAAGAGAACAATTTATTCCCCGTGGCCCTATTCTGAATCGCTGATTGATCACCACAGATAACCCATTCACAGGAATTTAGCTCCTCTCCTCCAGCCATAAGAAGAATGAACAAAGATTAAACAAGAGACTGATTACACGAAGCAGACTACAAATCTACAAGGGAACTACCAACCTCCCACATCCTGAGAGCCTCGTTAAAAGGCAACTCTCGCCGGAAAAGTACTAATAGCATCCTGAAGGCAAAATGAAGGCTTTCAGCACCAATACGTGATAGGTGAGAAAAAATTTCTTTATCTGTGAGTTGCAGTATCTGCCATAGCGATCGCAACTGTTTCATCACTCCAGTTGGTCCCTCCATCTGGAAGTTTGCACGCTACAGAAATTAACACGTGTTAGCAAAAGAATGTCAAATCACTGCATAACATATGAAAAAATATCACTGAGCATCCAATACCGTTCTTCTTATGAGCATTTCGAAGCACCAAAAAGCATCGGCATTATCCTCAAAAAGAACCACAAAAGGAGACACTAAATCACTCATGCCTGTCAACAGAGTAGTAGTCAGACAGTTAAAACCCTAAACCACAATAACCTTGTGGATTTTCAGCTGATAACACGCTAACAATCCAACTCAAGAGAAATTCGGAAACCTTGGCAATAGCCCGTCGCAGGATCAACCCATGCATAAACAGCAAGGATATCTGACATTCTTCCGAGATTTCTTGGATCCTCATAGAACTCAAGATGACTATCCGTTCTTACCACATCAACAACTGAGGAAACAAAAAAGTGAATGTTACTAAGGAAGATTAAACCATGAACCATGCACAACCTGCAACCGGAAAGTAAACAAAAAGGATTCCATGCAAGTAGTCTACCTATTTGGTGCAATGTCCAAAGCCATTCAGACACTCGATCTCCTGCCACAGGTCCACCACCAGAAAGGGGTCCCTTTGCCGATGGAACATCAGGGGCATCTGATATTCTCAAACCATCAACTATTTCTGCAGTGCAACCGGAACGCGATGATGGTCCAACACTGGATGGTGATCCCTTTGCCGAAGGAACTTCAGGGACGTCTGACATTGTCAAACTATCAACTATTTCTGCTGCATAACCAGAATGTGATGATGGTTCAACAGAGTCTGGATGCACCACTTCAATTTCCGAACTAATGGAAGTAGTCACATTTTTGGAAGTGGATTCCTGTGGTTCTATAACTAAATCGATATTGTTATCAATTAGAAAACTGTGCATACCCCCATCCTCAAATCCTGTTTTGCTTTGCTGTGAAGCTTCTCCATCAGGAATAGCAAACCCTTTCTCATCTAAACTACTCCTCCCAAACAAATCTATGACCGGTAAAGGGGGGAAATCAAAAAATCCGTCAGCGACATATGGATCGGAGGATGCAAAGCCACCGGGACTAGAAGCAGGCACAAAAGAGGAAGCGTCATATGCTGGGCTATCAGGACTTTCTCTTCCACTTACAAGGTCAACTGACTCACTAGAACTTCCCCTTCTGTGAGCATGAGATGTATCAGCACAATTGTTATTGCAGTCACCATGATTCTCAGTATTATCATCACCATCAACACAAGTTTCTCTGCTTTCAGCTGTAGCATCTTTTGCCACCTCATTTCTATATGATTTCCGCATATCCATAACTTTAGAACCCACTACGTAGGCGAGCGAACCAGTTCCTACACTCGAATGCATCACCTGGCATTGCTTGAGCAGTTCATTGTAGCGTTCCCTGCATGAATTGCCAGTAACACTTTATGCTTTTGAATAAACTGACATTTGAAGTAAGCACCATCTCTACAGCTGTCGATACAACGGCAAAGCAATCAAACTGCCTAACCTGCGAGCTACCCTGAGTTGCCTACGATACTCCGAAGTGCTGCTCAATGCATAACAGCCAAGAAGAAATTCCCACACTTCAGCACGAATAGACGGATCAATTCCCTAACATGGAACAATAATAGCATGAAATAGAGTATTGCTTTGAAAGCATAACCAAAAAATTTTTAGGTGCACTTCTAATAAGTGTCCCCATCCCTGGTTCTTAGGGAGAGCAGAAGCGCGTATGAAGAGAAAGGATACGACTTAAAAACACAAGCAACACTGTTTTAGCTGACTATCGCATTTTTTTTGCAAAAGAAGAACATACCCCTAAAATAATTAACTTGAGCACTTTCTGGAAACCAGAAACCTTTCCATCGCTATCAAAAGTCGCCTGCCACTTTTCCGGTTTAAGCATCTTTCCGACCTGCACATTAGAAACTCAAGAACTCTTTAAGTAACTTCATTCTCTCTTACAAGAAACGAATCAAGAAAATATTTCTGCCTGAGAAGTTTTGCATGAAATAAAAACCTTCAAAATGTGTCGTCACACAAAAACACAAGAAATAAACCTAAAGAACGGCATTTATGATCCACAAACGGATAAAAATGCAGAAACTACACACGCAATGAACAAATATTTTTCAACAAACAAAGACCCTAAAGAAAAAGTCTTTTTAAGTAAATATGCATCTGAAAAGGAGAGGATAAAAGATCGAAGAGGGAATGAGAGAATCTTACAGTTATAACAACCTTTATCCGCGTTTGTGAAAGACAAGGCTCGCTCATATCCCGAACCAGAGATCCAACTTTCTGCAAATTTATCACACCAGCTTTTCCACAAGTCCATTTGTTATTATCCTCTCCACCAGAAAACATCAGTACTCGAGAGGCACGGGCTCTGCCCCTCTCTACCCACTTCCCACCTCCTCAACCTGTAATAACATCATCCGTTCAGAACTTCCGACTGATAGCCCAAAAACACTGCAACTGCAAGCAAATTACTTCACCAGACAAACCTCGAAAGACAACAAAAGTTATCTGAAACTGGAAATGCGGTCAACATGAAACTTGTAATCGGAGAAGCACATTCCTTCACTCGAATAGAAAGAGAAAAGATGACCAAAGTTACAAAATCCACATCAACCACCAAAACGATCTCAAGTATAACAGAAAAACGAAATCAGGCGTAAACTAACGGAGCCCATATCAGAATTTATCTATTCCTCGACCAATAGAATCGAAAACCTAACCAAGACCAATGTGACATTTCAGAATCCCAGATTTAGAGCTTCGAAATGAACAAACTCGCGTCAGGCCCATCCGCATTCATGAATCAGAAAAGACGATTGAATACAAGTATGGATCAGATCATCGATCCGTTTAAATGAACATGTCCTCAGAAAGGATACGTAGACGAGCTCCCAGAGACGCGTAGATAGATGGATAGATAGATTGACAGATACATTCCTTCCGCGTACATTTCGCGCAACAAATACATACATACACAGAAATGACGTACATTCAAGGGCGATTGAATATGCACGAAAACAGAAAGGAGAAGAGAAGAACCTGGATAATCTCCAAGGATATTCTATTCTTCTCCGATCGCCATTTTTCTTCCACACGGAAGGTTTTTCCCCTCTCTTTTTTTTTTCTCCTTCTCTCTCTCGCTCTCTCTCTCTCTCTCTCAAGGAAGTATGTTTGTTCTCTCTCTTCCCTTCCCCCGTCTCTTTTATATACTTCTCTTTTTCCCTTTTTTTTATTGTTTTTATTTAGGTTGGCATTCAATTAGTCAATTATTCTTGAAATAAAAAAAGCTAAATAAATAATCATTTTGCAAAATGTGATGATTATAAGGGAATAACTACGAAAAGAAAAGAAAATCTATGAATTATGATGTAATATTTTTCTACGCAGACCTAGTGTAATAATGTTTAGGTTATGTTATAAGTCAGACAAGATTATCATATGCATAAAACAATATATAGTTTGCAATTACATATATCTTTTATGTAGATATAAAATACCTTAAAACCAAAATTGTTATAAATCAATTTTTTTTTGTTGCAAACTCAACATTTTATACATAAAATAAAACAAGACGTTAATCAATATTCTCACTTGGTAACAAAAAAAAAATTCAGATATTATGGGCCAGAGGCCCATAAGATATGTGGAATTAATGGGCCTATAGCAATGTAGTTAGGCCAGTCTCGGCCTTTTCGACGACGGACGGCGCATATATACGGAGAGAGAAACATGGTACGTACATATTCCATAAATGGATGGACCGACGACGAGTATTTATCTCCATGTTTTATGAAAGAATAATCGTCGAGTACATAGATTATAACATAGATACTCTTTCTATCATATGTATATATGTATGTGTATGTGTATATGTGTGTGGGCATGGATATTCCATGTATTTTTGTGTTTAATAATGTATTGGCTATATATGAATGAAGGCGTCTGGATTTAGTTAAACGATTATAATCACGTTATCTTGCTGGGTATTCAGCTGTTGGACCAGTTGAAAGCAAAGAGAGAGTCATATTCAAGATTCTTTGATTAATAGTATGACTACTCTAGGTAGATAATGTAACGTTAATATTCAACAACCCGTCCCTGTGTTACCGGAAATGAACAGTTTATCGGAAACGAATGGGTGAAATCGTATAAAATAATATGAAAAATTTATGAACGGAGGAACTAACCAATTCTATATCGTTGTCTAATATTTTGGTTGAACAAAACAACGACTCGTATTATATGTAACCTATATGACCATTAATTACCCGAACTTTTATAGTTTTTTTTTTTGGTTAAAATCGAACTTTGATAGTTTAAACGGTAAAATGGGTACGGAGAAAATGTATATTTCAAATCAAATATTTAGCCCGCAATCTTAAGATTAGTCTAGATTTTAGTTGTAAAAAAAAAACTATAGAACTATTTGAATCATATTCAAAATGTGACAAACATTTGTTCCGTTTAATGAACGATGGCATGCAATTGTCATACGGTCCCATATTCGTCGTCATCCCCACAAACATCTTCGTCGCACAATGAAAACGTGGCAAATCGCCGGTCGTGATGGAGTTTTGAATTTGCACGCCTCTTATTCTTTGATTTTTAGCATTCATCTTTTTGTTTAACTAATCAGTATCGGAAGTTACACAATTATATATACACCAACCTCAATAGTTATTCCACTGGTATATATACATAAACATATGTAATAAATCTTCTTGCTAGTTCCGATAATTTGAAAATTTTATACAAGAAACGAGAAAGAAAACCCAATAACGATTTCGCCTGGACCACAATTGAATTACATATAAAAATGTTTATACCTTTGTCTTCTTCCCAAGAAAAAAGAAATAAAGGAAAAAATATCGATAATCACGATGCATGCATGCAGACACCATAAATACCCCCATGAGCAGAGAGACCCATTCCGACAACACAGCTCCAAAGCATCAAGTGAAACATAATTTTTTAAAAAAAATGGCTAAGGCAGTTTCCATTTTCTCCGTGTTCTTAGTCGTCCTCCTCGTGGCGGCCCTTGGTAAGCACAATAACGTTATAAAACGATCATTACTTTTGCTTACATCAAATGGAACCGAATAAGATAAATATTTTCAATGATATAATCACAGAGCTTTGATTATCTCTTAATTATCATGCGGATCCATGCTTATATATGCTTTCGTCACATATATGTATGTATATGCAGAAGTGCCAAAGACAGGAGCAGAGGACAGATCATGCAAGAGTGTGTACAAGGGACCGGCTTCAACGAGGGACCTCTGTCCGTCGGTGACCATCGTTCCGTCCAACTGTCACGAGCGTTGCATCAGCGACGTTGGCGCCAAAAGCGGTACCTGCGAACGGACAAATTCGCCGATCCCTAGGGTTAGATGCGTATGCGACCACTGCAACAATCCCTACGAATGCACGAGAGATTACCAGGGAAAATGGAACCCCACTTATATCTGTTCTTCGTTTCCGCCCGACGCTTGCTCTGGCCTTTGCATCAGAGACAACAACGCACAATCCGGAAAGTGCAATCTCATTGGCCATTACGAAATTGTATGCCAATGCACCTTCAACTTCTGCAACCTCGGACAGAACCTCGGTCTTAAAAACATAGTCGGATCAAACGCTGTTTAGTTAAGCCGCTAAAACGCAGAAGTAATAGCGATACGCTGCGTTTGCGTGCATGCAGTGTGTCCATGAATAAATCTATGTATTCGCAGTCAACAAAAAGGCATCTGCAGCCTCTTCCTCAAGGAAGTATGTTTGTTCTCTCTCTTCCCTTCCCCCGTCTCTTTTATATACTTCTCTTTTTCCCTTTTTTTTATTGTTTTTATTTAGGTTGGCATTCAATTAGTCAATTATTCTTGAAATAAAAAAAGCTAAATAAATAATCATTTTGCAAAATGTGATGATTATAAGGGAATAACTACGAAAAGAAAAGAAAATCTATGAATTATGATGTAATATTTTTCTACGCAGACCTAGTGTAATAATGTTTAGGTTATGTTATAAGTCAGACAAGATTATCATATGCATAAAACAATATATAGTTTGCAATTACATATATCTTTTATGTAGATATAAAATACCTTAAAACCAAAATTGTTATAAATCAATTTTTTTTTGTTGCAAACTCAACATTTTATACATAAAATAAAACAAGACGTTAATCAATATTCTCACTTGGTAACAAAAAAAAAATTCAGATATTATGGGCCAGAGGCCCATAAGATATGTGGAATTAATGGGCCTATAGCAATGGATATATGTTATGAGCAATTGAAAGCAAGAGGATTACATTCACTCAACCGCAGACTTTCTATAAGAAGATAAAGAAAAAATAACGTTCAATAACGAACGGGACTAATAAAAAGGTTATCTCAAAAAGAATAATTTAAATGCTCAATAATATTTTCTTGGTACGGTTGAGATAAGATTTTAAGAAAATATCTTCCAAAATTCAATAAGGTTGTATTTATATGATGTAATTGGATTGTACCGTGACCCTCTTTGCGAGGACTTCCATAGGATATATGATCTTATTGGAGTGAGAGGATAACCTCGACGATGGAGTCTTGGACTCTAAAAGGAAGAAATGCTAAATGAGTTAGGTTAAATGGGTTAATTGATCCAACCTCACACAATACAAATTTGTATTTGGGTTGATTAATTAATTAAAAGGGTTTTGTGGGTTTATACCTATTAAGAGTATAGATTAAATGTGTAAACCCATTAAACTCATTTAAAATGATAGATATTTTTTTTTATCATCCCATTAATACTCTCTTCTCTTTCTATGAGATAATATTTATATCATTTGATCATACAACAAATCACATTCAGTGGCGGACCGAGAGTAATTTATCATCTGGGACATAAACTATAATCAGAGACAAATTTAATTTCGCTACAAAGGTATTTAATAATTTTCATTAAAATTGTATATAATTTATAAAAAAATAAACATTTTTTTTAATTTTAAAATGGAGGCACATACCCCATTACCTTGTACATGGGTCCACCACATATCACACTATAATTTTTTTTATAATCCGGAAATTTATTGAATTTTTGGTCTAACTATTTTTTTTTAAAAAAAGTGAGCAAATTCGGGTGAATAACTCTTTCTAAATAAAGACCGAATATGGATTGAAAATGAGTTATCTTTTTTACTAACTGAGCCACTCAATTTTGAATAAATCACACTATATTATAGAAATTATATATATTCGCAGTGTTCTTCATCCTCTGCTTGAATTGGTAATTAATTACAGATAAATGTGCTACATTAGACTTTTCTATTGAATATATGTATAATGCATAACACTCTGGAACGGAGGTCGACGTACCATTTGATCGATCAGTCAAAAAATGTGTTTGCAATTGGCACCACATACCTACATACATAGGGACAAAAACCAAACATTGTTATATATGTGAAAAAAATATATAATGTTTCGGTCACATGGAAAACGAGTATGGTAATAGAGTTTTGATTTTGTACGCCTCTTTTCTAATAATAATAATATTAATAATAATAATACTAACGACGACTACAGTTTTATTATCGACGATCTTGATTCTTGAGGATCAACGATACATATATGAATTCGATAAATGTATTTCGTGTTTAAAAATGTATTGGTTATGAACAAAGAGTCAAATTATCAGACTACATATATACGTTATTGAACAACTCCATCCAAGATCATATCTGTAATATATATATATATTTTTTTTATAAAAAAAACTCAAACACACTCTCAATAGAAATAATCAGACTACATAAGGTTCGTGTCCGAAATCCCAATGCTGCATCATCTCAGGTAAATAAATTTCCATCCAACGAACAAATAATAGAAGCAAAAATGCTGATAAATATAAGACAAAATGGAAAAAAAATGGTACATGAAATGAAAGACCTTTGGTTTCTGCATCTGGGGATGATCAAAGCGCGAAAACTCTGTTCTTCAGATTATGATTCTTAACTATTATGGCGATTCTTCTCGTCACCATAACCAGATGCCTTCCCGCTTCTTCCCACCACGAAAGGCTCGGGCAAAGTGTTGTCGCTGTTCATTTCCAGACCTCGATAAGAACGGCTCAGCAAATACTCCGGCCCTGATTTTGCGACAGCCCTCTTGTCGAGCGGATTGAGATCTTTGCCTCCCAATTGCAATGCTTTCTCTGCTGCCTGTACCAACGCCATCGTTTCTCGATCCTCCTCCTCCTCCTCCTCCTCTTCTCCAGTTGTAGTTTCTGCAGTGAGTTAATAGACAAAACAAGGGATTGAAATTACATTCTTTACCGATAAAGGATGCATAAAATTTGTTTACGATACCTTCTGTATCGTGATCTTCCACATAGCCACCCTGAAAGAAGGAAAACCTTGGCTCCTCTGTCTGGTTCTGTGCTTCCGCTGTCGAAGAATTGACTAAATCTTGGAATTGCATGAGGTATGCTCCTGTCCATTGTTTACCTCTGGAGATGCAAACCCGGCATACAGATTCAGAAATCGAAGACTGAAATATTTTCTTGGGATGAACCTATTTTCTTACTGTACCTGCTGAAAGCCAGGATGGCCTCGAATGGAGTTATGACGGGAGCCAAGAACTCTTTGCTATCCAAAAGAGCAGTTTGGGCACACGATATGTAGATAAATACGTCGCACTAGAACAAAGAGGGCGAGGCAGTAGTCACGGATATATCACATTCAATCAAGGAATAATCGACGTAACGATATAAACCACCTTCTCTACCTCGGGGAAGTTTGCAAGTTTGGCAGGGTTAGGTCTTCCCATGGCAAGCGTGTAAGATTTTTTACCAGTAGCAGCTATGAGCTCTTGCATTTGATGAATCATATGAAGGTAACCAGCTGCATCAATGGTGGGGAATGTTAAGACATGATGTCCTATCGCCTTTACCATTACATGTGTAGAATTCAGCTCAAAATATGATGTTAAACATACCTACACCGAGAGTTCCGACCAAAATACCGATAATATTCGCATCCTTTGCTTTCTCTACAAGATAATATCTGCATGAAATCCATCGAATCAGCAGTAGGAATGTGCATTCATACACAAAAGAAACGTAATCTGATATAGTAATGTAGGATGTCTGTGTTATGCGAGTGATGACCTACCTACGCTTAAGTATCCTCCTCTGTTGAGAAAAATCTGTAGCCAAAGAATCTTCTACAGCATCATATCTAACTAAGACCAACCAAAAAACATACCAGAACCACATTTAGAGCAGAGGAGATTACCTAATACAAACATAATTCAAAACACGAAAAGACAAACAGCATAAAATCATCTACTTGCAAAAGCCGCTCGAAAGAATCACGAATTAGAGTAAGAATTTAAATTCAGCTACCTATGTCACAGCCATTGAAGGTCAGAACTGCATTTGCAAAAGCTGAATTTTCGGAACCAATCCAAAAGATCAAGCAATCCTCCATTTTGTCTCCTTTCGATAAGTCCCATGTCAACCCTCCTAAGGTATATTTGGTAGTTGTGCCTGAATCGTCGTTATCAGCATGTTCACTAGACGGTCCTGAGTGCTCCTTGGATGGACTAATGAACAAACATGTTACATCGGCGAAATGGAATCTTGATTGAGGTCTAGACTCTGATGCTTCCACCAGTTCTTCTCTAATATTCTGGATTGCATGTGCATATTCTAGTCCATAAAGGACCTGCAAATAAAAAAAAAAATACAATTTACACTTGCCCATTGCATGGAATCAACTAATCTTTCCTAATCTTGAATTTCCTTGCATGTCAAGATAGATGAAGGAGTGGATATAACAACATACAGAACAAAGACACAAACTTTCAGATAGTTGACGTACCATAATGGGTCTATCGCTGGTAGATGCATAATCTAACAAGTGTTTCACACACTTTGACACGGTTATGGGAGCTCTACCGAAAACAAAGAATGCTGGAAGAACTGATGTCCTGCGACAGGAAAAACACAAACACCGGCATAAGCACAAGGAATTCAAATTGAGAAACACTACAGAAATAGAACAGAAACCACGGAACTGGTTGTATCAATGTGCAACTTACGGGCTTAGACAAGTATGGCCGTAATGGATAACGCATTCGGCATCAATATGCAAAGCTCCGACTTCATCCACGCAGCAACTTCCATAAGTTGTGTCTGCCATCACAAAAAACCTGACCCCTTCATCACCCTCACTTCTTTCTGCATTTGAATCCTTAAGCAAACGGATTTTCCTCTTCAGAGCACCCACGACCCTCGTCGAATCCTTCAACAACTCATCTGGGAACTACCACAAAATATAAAACAAATCGAATGTTACGAAAAGAACTACACTTTCCGCCTCCCTTTACACATAATCTCAGGAAACAGACAGAAATTTCGCAAATTCACAGCAACCAAGCAGACAAGGCTATTGACAAAAACCCTACAAATAAGTTCAATTCAGAGGTGGGTTTTCCAGATTTATCCGTTCATCTTTCTACGAAACCAAATATACAGAAGACGTAACTCAGAAAAGATAAAAGGGTTTTAGCTGAGGTTTTGGGATCGTTAAATCTTTACCTGCAAAGCAATTCTCGTCAAATTTCTGCTGATAATGAATTCCGCCGTCCGTAAAATTTCATACTTCGATTCGATGTCCATTAGCATAGTCCCTACGATAAATCAACAATCTTCTTTCCAGAGAACCCAAAATCGAAGGCGAAAGAACTCTGACGGCGACGATGGGTTCGATCGGTCGAGAAACGGAGCATTAGCAATTAGGCAGGGGCAAAAGGACTCGACGATGTTATGGATCTTATTAAAACGGTGCCGTTTAGAAAGGGATTGGTTTAGCACCGGTTCTGATAAAATTGATTTGGTTATCGAATAATTTAAGCGGTTCAGTCGACAGTTGAAGACGTAACTCAGAAAAGATAAAAGGGTTTTAGCTGAGGTTTTGGGATCGTTAAATCTTTACCTGCAAAGCAATTCTCGTCAAATTTCTGCTGATAATGAATTCCGCCGTCCGTAAAATTTCATACTTCGATTCGATGTCCATTAGCATAGTCCCTACGATAAATCAACAATCTTCTTTCCAGAGAACCCAAAATCGAAGGCGAAAGAACTCTGACGGCGACGATGGGTTCGATCGGTCGAGAAACGGAGCATTAGCAATTAGGCAGGGGCAAAAGGACTCGACGATGTTATGGATCTTATTAAAACGGTGCCGTTTAGAAAGGGATTGGTTTAGCACCGGTTCTGATAAAATTGATTTGGTTATCGAATAATTTAAGCGGTTCAGGCTTACCAACCTACCGTTCGGGAAGCTTCGTGTCAAGTAATAAACGCCGTCGTTTAGTTGCCGCCTTGGGATATAGATAAGTTGGTGATCGTGATTATCATCCCTTCCTCATTCTATCTGCTTTAACAGCACCGATTGGCTTCTCCGTCGTCTGTCTTTGGGTGCCAGTAAGAGGTATTAACGAATCCTTATCTCGAAAGGGATATTAGGGTTTCTTCCTCTTGGTTTCACCACGGTTTCGACAAGGTGCGATAATGTTTCCAGCTCCATTTGATATTTTCCGATTGCTTTCTCACGACTTGTTCATAGTTCCTCTTAATTTTTCGAACAAGAGGTTGAGTTTCTGTGTTTTTTTCCCGTTTTATATTCAAGAACATGATTTTGCATAGCTGCTATCGTGTCTTGTTACTTCCTCTGGATGTTTAGGGTATTTCGGTTCCATATTAGTTCCTTACAATCTCCATAGTAGCGATTGTGTATCTCGGATGTATAGATTGAGCATGCTCTTGGGCGAGAGCTGGTTTGGTGTTAGCTGAAGTGTACCGATTAGTTGTAATAATTATATCGATTTGTTTAGTTCTTCTCTCCTCCATTTTGGATTTGATGCACGGGAGGACATTCTTTGAAATCGATGTTGTTTATTTTGCAGTTAAAACTCAGAGGTTAATGTTTTAGATGAAGAATTAGAATAAAGATGAGCTCTACCCAGGCTAGTTTGTTTGGAACTTCCTGCTACTCTGTGAGGACATCACGACCAAAGTGCGTCCCCAGCTTACTTTTGAGGCCGTCTTTACATTTTAATCATCGGTCAACTCTTCAAGCGAATGCAAGGATCTCTACTCAGTTTTCACCTCTTCTGAATCACCGGCGGCGTGGTGGACCTTCTGGGAAACAGAGGCAAGGTTCTGCTGTATGCTTACTTGGTGGGAAGGATAAGTCAGATGGTAGTGACGAGGTCAGAAGCTTTTCTTCAGTTTAAGTCTTTTTGTGCATAGGCCTTGTTGGTTGATAGATCACATGATGCTTAATGTTCGAATGGAGATTTACACTTTGATGTTGGGTTATGATTCATTCTGGTGAAGCGTGTCCTTGCTGCCAAACAGTAGCATTGTAGGTGGTACATGATAATGGATGATAATTTGTTTGAAAATATTTTGGAAATCGTTTTTTAGAAGTGCACTACTCTCTTGGATAAGCTGTTTGTAGTATGAGAGTATGAAAGAAGTTCGGCACAAGACTTTGTTGTCTCTTATCAATGACAATGATAATTGCTATCAAATTTTTTGTTTAACCGTCTAATGTTGCGATTCTTATCTGTGTTCTGATGCTCTTCATCATCAGATATCACCATGGAAAGCAATTGAGAAGGCCATGGGGAAGAAATCGATCGAAGATATGTTGCGAGAACAGATGCAAAAGAAAGAGTATTATGATGGTGGGAGCAGCAATAATCCGCCACGAGGAGGAGGCGGTGGCGGAGGTGGCAGTGATGGCGGCGGTGAGGGTTCTGAAGGCTCAGGAGAAGAAGACGAAGGCATTGCAGGGATTGTGGATGAAACCGTCCAAGTGGTTTTGGCAACATTGGGCTTCATATTTCTGGTAAAGACTAAAGAAACTTCCAGAGTTTTTTTTATTAGAACATCATGAGCCACCTTAAGGGCTTTGAATGTTATTGCATTTTTTCTTGACAATCTTTTGCAGTACGTATACATCATCAGTGGAGAGGAGCTGTTCCGGCTGGGGAGGGATTACATAAAGCATCTTTTTGGAGGGCCGAAGAGTGTTCGTTTAACCCGAACTATCGAAGGTTGGAGAAGATTCCTTGAGCAGATGTCCCCGAAGAGAGTGTATGACGAGTACTGGCTGGAAAAGGCCATCATCAATACGCCCACATGGTACGACGGCCCCGACAAGTACAGAAGCATCCTTAGGTCATATGATGAATCAGATGATGATGAATAAGTTCGATGACTCGGAAGCGTTTTGTTTAGGCCGAACCCGTTTTGCTTGTTTTCCTTTTCTCAATCGGTATTATCATTCATCAGTTCCAATCTCTCTGCCATCTTTGCGGGAACTTTGCTGCTGTTTTCCGACAGACCATGTGAAAGGGCATGGACCAAAGAATGGAGCTCAAAGATTTTTTTTTTTTTTTGGATCATGTTCTTGCGTTTGCATGAACAAGATTATATAATTTTGAAAGAGGATAAACACTAGAAAAAAAGAGCAGCCAAAGTCTGATTACATGTTTCCAAAATCCAGCAAAATCTCAAATGTGTATATGACCCAAAAGCAAGGGAATGGGGAGGAGAAGATCCATCAGACCATGTGATTGCAAATCAATGTGAAAACATAATAGGACCAAAGATGGATATGAACTTTCAGAGCTTCTTAGGTTTAGAAGAAGTTGAATTGTCTTCTTTCTTCTCTGCTTCCGTAGACTTTTTCCGGTCCTTCCTTTCCCTCTTCTTCAAGGCTGTCATGTGAGCCTTGAGGATAAGTGCGTATGATGCTTGAAATCTTTGATGATCCTTAGCCCCGACCTTAAAATCCAGGAAAAAAACTGTACAATTTAGCTGCGGAATCGAGAATCTATGCCAACTGCATTCCTTTCTATCATCACTATGAATTCTAACAGACCACTGATCACGGTGATGGAGAAATAGTCACTTGAACAATCTTTTGACTAACAAATTGTGGTGCTGTAGCAAAATGATGGTTCACCACTAATGGTTCAACTCATGAGTTTTGAAAGCTTCAAACTTTCTTTATATTCAACAATATAAGTTCATTCAGGAATGTTATCCGACAAATGGATTGGAGCATACCGAAGTAGAAATTGTTTTCTTGCCATTAGTTGCTCGGATAAGGCACCTATATTCTATGGATTCTCCAGCTGCATTCAGCTTCCTCTTCTGCAACTTAGACTTCAGAGACGCTATCAGGGCACAGGAAACAGAAAATCAAGTCAAAATCCTCCAATTTCATCGTTCACTCACTGCGCCAACTAATCGCACAAAGGAAATCTATTAAAATGTCAAGTGAACAGCCAAAGTTACATCTTTTGAGTGTAACCCATACAGAGCCCTTCTCTTGGCTTTTCTCGAACATGCTCGTGAGTTCATTGAGGAATGGATCAAGCTGTAGTAGAACCTAACACAATCCCAAAAGAAAGTTTAAGAACCTCATGGCTTAAGAACATCATAACCGGGTGGGAACGCAAAAAAAGAAACACTACACCAACTCCAAGATCTAGAATCCAATGCACTTGCAACGCAATTGAGGATCGAGAATTACCATGATAAGCGTCAGGGAGAGATTTTCTGCAGACCCTCGAGCACAAAAAAGGCCTCGTCCCTTCTAGGCCACCGAGAACGGCAAATCACAATGCAAATACGAATGGAAAAATAAGATCCAAAATGCAAGAAGATTGTACGAGTTACCGAAAGTATACTGAAAACGCAATTTCAAGTTATCAGCATCATACCAAAAAAAAAGTTATCAGCACAAATCGAGCAATTGTTAGGACTTGGGGTACTGTCGATTCGATATTTCCCACAACGATTATGGCCGCATAATCTACACTAACAAGCTGTCTAAAACCTTAAAAATCTCGACAAAATGCAAACTTCAACCACATGTTCCCGTAACCGTAGAAAATCGTAGAATTCAATTCGCAATAATTTGAGGGAAAATCAAGCAAAACCACAAAAACCAACAACGTTTCGCGTACTGAAGGAGAGAAACACGAAACGGATTCAAGCAGATTCATATCGAAATTCACCAGAAACTGACGATCTGCTTCAAAAACTTGGAAGTGATGATGTCGGATGAAATGCGCCGGAGGAATTTCTCTGGTAAAAGGATGTCACGGTAAGGTCTACGGCGAGAGCTACTTATTCCTCGTTCAAGCCGACGGGCTCCGATCATTTTATTGTGGGCCCACATTACCAGATATCAAATGGGGCCTCAAATAGGCCCAATAATTTGTCAAAACCTCTAGGGTTTAAATTTTTTCAAGCCGACGGGCTCAGATCATTTTATTGTGGGCCCACATTACCAGATATAAATCGGGCCTCACATAGGCCCAACAACTTGTCAAAACCTCTAGGGTTTTTGTTTTTCAAGTCGGCGGGCTCCGATCATTTTATTGTGGGCCCACATTACCAGATATAAATTGGGCCTCACATAGGCCCAACAACTTGTCAAAACCTCTAGGGTTTCAAGTCGGCGGGCTCCGATCATTTTATTGTGGGCTCACATTACAAGATATAAATTGGGCCTCATATAGGCCCAACAACTTGTCAAAACCTCTAGGGTTTTAATTTTTGAAGTCGGCGGGCTCAGATCATTTTATTGTGGGCCCACATTACCAGATATAAATTGGGCCTCAAATAGGCGCAACAACTTGTCAAAACCTCTAGGGTTTTAGTTTTTCAAGTCGGCGGCTCCAATCATTTTATTGTGGGCCCACATTACCAGATATCAAATTGGGCCTATATGTTTAATGGGTTTTGAAATTGTGTAAGATTAAGGTCTTGGATGCAATGGGTTATTCTTAGAGATTATATTTAACTCCTATATCTGGAATAGCTGTTCTTAGTCATTCACTGAGTGTTCTTTGGGCAAATTTTGATTCTCTTTACTGTTTGTATGTCTCTGCAGTTCATAAGCTGAGGGATTTTGTTCCCTTGGATGTTAATAAGGATACTGATGAATCGGATGAAGATGAAGGGCAACCAGTTTTTGATATAGAGGTTTGCCTTTTACCTTATGCCCAGACAGTGGGTGTGCGGTTTCTGCAATTTGATGAACTATATATATATATATATATATCGGTCCATCCGTCAACAATTTTATCACTGTAAAACATGGTTTCTTCTTATTTAGTAATCTTGGCTGTGTTATTGTTTCCTCTCATATTTTCAAGTCAATTCAGCTTGACTGTTTCAATTTAATTCAGCTTGACAAGTCTGTCCATTTCCCCCACAAAATCATTTGTTCCAGTTTTTTCTAATATCTCTTACCGTTGGTTTGAGGGCTGAGGATGACGAGGAAGACGAGGATGGTGATGATGGTGCTGAAAATGGCGGACTTGCTGCAAAAAAGTAAGGATGTTCTCTTCAATTTCTTATCTTGTTCCAGAGGTTTTTTTCCCAGGTTATTCCATGGATATTTAGAAGGCTTTTGATGTTATTACATGTTGCCGTGGCTTGCCGTATGTCTATATATCATGCATAAGTGAACTCCTTCTCAAACGACACTATTGTGGAGCAGCTGGAGGCTCATCCGTATTCTTTGTTTTTTTTTTTGCAGTTATAAGGCAGAAGAAATATTTAAGGGCAAAGTTTGGTGATGTTGATGCTGAAATGGCTGATGATGACAAGGATAATGAGGAGGATAAAAGGACGACATGGGGTGGAAAAAAGGGCCAATATCACGGTGGTGACAATGCTGACTTTGAGGTGAGGAGTGTCTTGGTTCTTATAAACAATCTACACCTGTTTGTTCGAATCCATTTGTTTTGAAAATTGGATTTCTTTTATATAGGACTTTTTTTTTTCTTGACCTTGCCACGATTTACTAATGGCTTGATGTGATTTTTAAAGATCCAATCAAGTGATGACGAGGCCCTTGTTTTGGAGGAGGCAGAAGGGATAAGATTACAGAAGGAAGCTCTAGCATCCTATACTGCAGCAGATATGGGCTTGGAAGATGATGATAGCGAACAAGAGACCGACAGAGAATTAACCTTGGAGGTTGGTGTTTCTATCACGTTGTTGGACTATCTGATCCTTTTGCTTGTAGAAATAACTCATGGTTCTATTATTTTCTTGCTAGGAAATGAATCTGAAAGGTAAGCATTCATCAAAATCCATCACAGATAAGGAACAAAAGGATGATGTGTATACGACTTTCGAAGAGGTCAAGAAAGACATCAATGCTTTGACAAAGGAGGCGCAAATGGATGTAGTATATTGGTAAAGTCAGTGCCTTTTGTTCCAAGTTAGGATTAGTATGATATACTGGTTCTTGCTATGTATAAGCTTGTTTCTTTGAAGTGACAATTTCTTTTCTGCAGCTCTGCTCCAGAATTAGTTGGTCTTTTGTCAGAGTTGAATGATGCAGTTCAACAGCTCGAGAATGAGATAAATCCTGTTAGGAGAATGGTAAGCTTCTTTGAAGCTCCCTTAATTGTTATTATCAAATTCAATTTTGGTATGCCCACTCTGCGGTCTGCTAACTTCAAGCCTCTGGCGCCGTTCTCCACCAAAATCAAAATTTTATGACTTCTTTTTTCATATTTCGTGTGCTGGATTTTCAAAGGGTAACATTTCTTAATCAATTTCGCATGTTAAACAATTTGTCTTAACACAGTTAATACTTAATAGAAGGTGAAATTGCATTGGATGGTGGAATCAGATACCTTGAGGTGAAGCAACTTCTAATGTTGGCCTATTGCCGAGCTATAACATTTTATCTTCTTCTAAAATCCGAGGGGCAGCCTGATCGTGACCATCCGGTCATTGCCCGTCTTGTAGAGATCAAAGCCTTATTGGATAAGGTGGTGCCCTTCAGATCTTTTTCTATCTTCTCGAATTAACCTTTGTTGCTGTTGCTGTTGCTGTGTAGTAATATTGAAGAAACAGTCGTTATCATGATGGCCAAATGAATGTATGTTATTTTCTGTGATAGATCAAAGAACTAGATGGAAATTTGCCTCCGGATTTCATGGAGATTTTGAAGAAAGGCATTGCTACTGGAACAATGGGGAGGGCCATGAAAGAAACTGCTCACACTGCATTAGTGTCTCTATAGAATGATCGCGTTCTAACTTCTGTTTCTGCTGTAGCAGTCAGAGATACACAGATGCAGATAAGGTAGAAATACGGCCACACTTCATTCCTTTTAGCTTAATCTTTATCGTGTTCTTTTTTTTTCTGTCTATTTATTCTTTCTTGTGGCCCCTTTAATTCTCATATATTTAGCCAGTAAAAAATGATGCATTGACTGAAGACAAAAAGGAAAAACGAGAGAAGCGCAAGCGCCAGGTGAATATAAATCTAACGTGTTCCATAGTTTTATTCTGTTTTCATGAAGTGGAGTGATGAGAAATAGCGTCAAAATTCTTCACTAACTTGGTCAGACACCTGTTAACTCTCAGATACTTTGCTGTGTTATCGCTGCCATTGTCATGTACATGATTGGAAATGATTTTCTTTTATGCCAGACTGCTCAAGTTGATTTTCAAAGCGAGGAAATGTTAAGACTTCAAGCAGCACTCGAGGAGAAGCTGAAAAACAAAGGTGCCTTGGGTTCCACCATTTCAAAGCCTGATAAAGCTCAGAAGCCTTTGAAATTGGCGAATGGGTATTCTTCTATTTTTTCCAATGTATTTTGAATTTTCCAATAAGTATGATCCTTTTGTTTTCTAAGGCTGTGAAGCGTTGATCTTCAATCTTGGTTGCAACAGGAAGCTGGAAACATTTGATGATTATGTAGATGATGCAGACAATGACGAGGATGACTCTCATGGTTTAATGTCTAATATGGTCTCACAGATTGTCTCTGCTAAACGGAAGCCCAAGGTAAATAAGCCAATGCATACGTGGTCTCATCCCATGTCTGATGAAGTTTCTGGTTACAAATCAATCATTTCTTTTCGCAGATATAGTATGTTCTATATATGTGTACATTTGTATATACACCATCAGAATATTGGTAGATCTGATGGCTTAGCAGAATGCTAGATCTGTGACACTATCAAAATCACTGCGTGGAAATTGTGTTAGTGTTTGAATACTGCTGCCTTAGTTTTAAGAAATTCGTTGCTTCGTTCTTCTGTTAAAACGATATTTTCACAAAAAAGCAATGCAAGTTCTCTCTAATCAGTTGGTGTCTAATGTGGGCATCTTTGTATCTTTGTTGGAAGATTGTCTCTGGTGATGGTGATTTACCAAAGAGGGATGATATTGGAGAACGACGTAGGAAGTTTGAGCTGAGAGTGTTGGCTGGGGCTGGTGTAAAGTCCGAGGACGGTGGTGGAGATGAACCTATGACCGATACATCGGAAGATGATGATGATGGAGATGATTTGTATGAACAAGCCAAGCGGCGACGAGAGGCAAAACTAGCTGCAAAAGCAGAGATGTCTGCAAGGTATAACTTTTACCCATTTCACTCTAATTTCAAACCGTGCTTTTCCTATTGATATATCTGGGCGAGGGCGGGGCCAAGCTGCATGCATTGAGGGAGGAGTAGCAAAATCATGATCATATTTTTTTCAGAAATCCGTCATGTTTTCACACTGACTCATTTGTTATTGTTCGTGCTTTCTGTTTGAGTCCATATCGGAAAAAGTATTCAATACTAATCCTCATTGTGAAATCTGCGATATTGTGATTCAGGCCAATGTCTGCCAACCCGTCATCGTTTGCCGGAAACCGTGGATGGAAAGCGAGTGATTTCATACCAGGTGAATTTATGTCTTGCTACTTGCCTAACAAAGTCTACAACATCATCATGTTCATCCAAACACTTCTCACCATTCTTGTCTTTTGTGTCTTTTCCAAAAAAACCCAGATGGAGAAGAACAAAGGACTGACACGAAAACGCAACAAGGATCTCAAAAACCCGAGAAAGAAGTACAGGGTAATAATCATTTGCTCGGATCGCTTCTTGCATTTGTTTGTTTTGTTTTTGAGCTGCGAGTTTGACATATGCTTGAATGGAATATGTATGCAGAAAAAGCACGAGCAAAAGGCAAAGAGAAGAAAAGGACAGGTGCGGGAGGTGAGGAAGCCGTCGGGGCCATATGGAGGAGAAACCACTGGTATCAACAAAGGCATCAGCCGCAGCATCAGATTCTAACTCCTATTTTTCCTTTTTGGAGTAATACATAATCTGTTGTTATCTTCTTCTGGTCCTTCTTTTGTTGCCGCGGTTGTGTATGCTCTTCAAACTAAATCAATTTTGTGTCTTCAATTTTCAACATTGACACTAAATTTGGCTTCTGAATCTCTTGACGATTGGAGTTCAGACGAATATTAATCTCAAACTGCAACCAAGGTGTCGTGGTGTAGTTGGTTATCACGTCAGTCTAACACACTGAAGGTCTCCGGTTCGAGTCCGAGTCCGGGCGACGCCATTCTTTTTGCTTCCAACCTTTTAGCGTTTGGGCCACCCAACGGATTGCGCTGTGGAGATTGGTTTCCTTCCGGTTCGATCCCTCACCCCTTTTTTTCACTCATTCCGTTGGGTAATTTGTGCAAAGCCTTCTCGGAAACTCGTCTTCCTTCCACCTCCCTTTTTTTTTCTTCTAAAAGGGCTCTCTGACTCGGGAAAAGAAATGAAGTAAAACACAAGAGTTCTGTATGCAACAACAATACACGGGAAAAGACAAAGAGCAATTCCTTCATTTTTCTTTTTATTACTTGTGTCATCAGAAACAAAGGTAATATCTCCATGACCAGTGACCACCCCCTATTACACTGTAGCATACGTTAGTACATTTACACCAAAAAAGAAAGGTATGATAAGATTTAATGCCGTTTGAGGAAAATAAATCAAGAAGCTTTTATAGTGTTGGTATGGCTGTTTTCGTCTCGTGTAGGAGATGACGATGAAGATGATGGCTTAGTTTGGCCGCCGCTCGAAGAGTGTGACTTAAGGTACGAGGATGCTACTTCTAACATCATTTCCACCTCTTTCTTGTACTGTATTTTGTAAAGAAAAATACATTTGGTTCATCGCTCCTTGAAATATATAGGTGTGAGTTTCAGTTCACTAACCTCATCAATGGCCCCGGCCTTGATCTTGGATTGCATCAAGCACCACTTCTTAAAATGTACACCTGTTTAAGAAATATTATCCATATTTTAGCAGCACTGTTGATAATAGAGAGTCCCCTCTTCGATGCTAGAAAAAAAATGCCATATCATACAGTGACTCATAGATCTGCTCAACCAAACTCTCAAAACAGGTAGAGAATTCACTTAGGGGGATATAGTACTCTAAAGCCAATGCTCCTTTACTTAATTTCCAGAGCGGTGACAGATTTCTCTATTCATGCAAGACCATCATAACTCAAGAACTACATAATAAGGTTATGCAAACACTCGTTCAAGGTTTAGGGTTCATTATTAGATCTTGAAGAGTTCAAGGTACGCCAACTGACTTACCAACTCTTATATCTATAGAAGAAGAGTTATCATCTCTAGTATCCAGGTGCCACCGACAGTGAACCTGGTACAAACACGATTTGAGAAGCATATGAAAATTGGACGATGACCCTTTATATCCGGTAAAACATCCAAATGTTGTGTACAGAGTGATGGGCAAAAAAAATGCGGTGAGATGCAAGAAAAAACAACTCCAAGCTAGTAAAGAGCATTCTGGGCAGCATACATAGTGAACAAATATGAAGGGAAATACGTACCTCAAAATAAGAACCAAAAGGAACATCGTGTGGCTGCTGCACCGTTTCAAAAATCTAAAGGAAAAATCGTTGATAACTCTGTTTAAATCGATGGAATGGGATCTAATACCAAATCACGAGACATGTTTCATTCAGAATCTAAATATTAAGAGCTGACGAAAAAGATTATGATGAACCATACAAGTGTTTTCTTATCTGGTGATAGAACAACATGCTGCCATTCTGTCACTGCAGTGTCTGGTGGACACATAGGACTATTACAAATGGATCTGAACTTAATCTCCCTCACTTGACCATCATATTCTTCAGCAGAATGCCACGGTTCTATCTGCAAGTATTGCAAATCGAAAAAGAAAAAGTTTCATAGGAGAAATCAGAGCTGAATATGGAGCATGCGATCAAAACCAGAGTAAATAAAAAACTAAGAAAATATCAATTTCCTTAACAAACTAATACTCTAGGTCCCAAAATCTAGGGTGATAGAAAACTAGAAGTTAGCACAAAACGCCATACTCTCTTTGAATTATCTGACTTGAAAACTAGATTTATGACTTCTTAAAATTATTCAAATATCACATCTTCCAATACACAACCTTTAGGAGTTAGTTTCAGTTCAAGATGTTTGTGGATTATGAACTAGATAAGGATGTGATACATACATTAAGATTTTTATCCTTTCGGACAGATCGGTACTCATTAGTGTAAGTAGAATTGTCAGCCAACAAGCTGTTAAGGAATTGCTCAGCAGTGCAACCGAAAACATCCTGCATATAAGAGCGTGGATCAAAAAGTTCAAACGATATCTTCAAACAATAAGCATCCACAAAAAATAAAAAATAAAAAAATGCCGCTTACATTATAGATATTGACGAGAACTTCCTCCTTAACGAAAGCCTGATGCTTTTCAGGTACAGTGGCACCATCTTCTGGAGCTTTTGTTTTTCCTTTACCACTTTTCACAGAGCTGCTATGAGCACGTAAAGCGGATTCTGCTGTTTCCTATAGATTAAGAGAGTCCAAAAGAATGGAAGGATAGAAGCTGTTCATCTTCCAAGCTAAAAAGTATCACTTATCTGTAACAAAGGAAATGCATGACAAAAAAACAAAGCATAGCCTTTCTATGTCTACATGTTAAGATTTCAAGAACTGTCATCAAGTTTAAATTGAATATTTTCAATTTAATAGCCGCCAAACAACCTACTATATCAGAGATTGGAGTGAGTAAAGTACTAAGCTCTTTACATTCTTATAGATGCATTTTACGCTAAAGGATGAACTTCTCTCAAGTTCATAACTGCAAATAAACACAGGAGAAGCATTCAACAGCTGAAAACTTGTTCAACATAACAAAAGAAAAAAAAAACATGACATGCACAAATCAAGCATCCAAGCACAGCAATAAAAGGGGATAATCAGAGAATTAGATTCAAGGCTCCAACAATGCTATCCTAGAAATATCAGATAAATAAAGAGACATCGCAATTTTCATCACAAAATGGCCAGGAAAAGTGCAAGTAAAAGTTCCTCATGGAAAATTGGAAATGCCTGTGCCAACCATTATAGCAGGTAAGTAATAACTGAAGCACAGGAAGTGGTAAAACATACTGCACATGATGTAAAATTTTCAAACATTGGGAAAGGAAGAGGAACCTTTTTTTCTGCTTCTAACATTGCATGGTAGTTTTTTACTGCACGCTGCAATGCTTTTAAAGTATGGTTCCTGTTCCAAAATGATGCAAATTTATACCTCACTCTACCTGAAATACAGAAGGAATTTGAGAAGAGGCATAAAGAAAACATAGCAACACTAAAGATTGTACTTCAAAATCTTTGGTCCTAGCATGAACAACAGCCACACCAGTAAGCAAAATGGCAGATATTTCTCACTTTTTGATGCTGGTAAAGCAGAATTTCACAATGAGAAAATTGCGTCATGAACGCTAGAAGCTGTAAATGCTAATATAATTTCAGAAATCCAAAAATAAATTTAATAGCTAACCATCAGGAGTCCCAAGAGGAGGAACACCATGTCCACCAGCGCCCATCCGTAAAATAATCGTTACAGCTGGGTTTATAAATGCATGTTGACTTCTACGAATCTGTGTAACCAGAAGAAGTTTAACATGTGACTACTCCAATCATGCAACAGTTTAAAATCATCACTCCTAGTCAAGAAAAGAGGTACCTCATCAATATCTCCCAAAGGTATAACTACCTGTGAAGTGCAAAGAAGTAATAAATAAAGTCCTGGAAGTTTGAAGTAATTCAAAACGGGAATTCGAAAAAGATTACAAGAAGCCGATTCAGCGTGGAAAAACACTGACCTTCATTTGCTTAGAGAAAACATTAGAGTGGAAACATATGTGCCATGCGGAGACATACATACGGCCATGATACAAAAATGACCTTTCAAGAGCACACGAATAACTATGCTCAACGACCTAAAGAAAATTGCCAGATATGATTCAGAGTGCTGAAAAAATATTAAATACTTCATAATGCAATACAACATTTTTAAGTTCTTATACAAATTTACTACAAGAATACCACTGATTTTATTAGTGACTCACCTCATCAGGGAGAAGACTAAATATTGTCTGCAGAGGCCCTGGCTTTTGATGTACAACTGTTGGGCCTTGCTTATCCAAAGAAAACCTTCTTCTACAATTGGCTCCAGCAAATCCAGTCATAACCCTACCAATCAAATTCATTCGTACAAGTATCACAAGATACAGTCAAGCATGCAGGTCAACTCAATACATAAAAAAGAACTAGAGAAGCATTCAGTTTACATGTTCTAAGAGGAACCATAATGGCAAAAGTTCTAGAACAGATTTGAAGTCACAGAATGAACAGACTGTATAATACAAAATAGTTTACTGTTCTCTTATGATCTTATCCAAACGAGATCAAACCAAACATATAAAGGATATAAATTATTTAAACTAGACAATTACCTAGGAGCATTCGTGGGGAGCCTGATCGTACTAATGTTAAGGCAGACCTGAAAAGCAGAACCCAGCGAGTTTTGATTAGCCTCAATGGAAACAAGGTCTGAAAGTTAAAAAAAGACGCTTAAAAAGTCAAGCAGAAGGGGACAAAAAGAAAACTAGGAGAAAAAATCACCTGCCCAGATGCACTATCCAAAGAGTGCCAAACCGGACCAGTCTGCCCTTCACGTTCAACAGTAATAGTAACAGAACCGAGGTCAGTACTCTTCCAAATTATATCCCAATCGTGAATCATTACATTGATCTGCGATAACGCACACATAATTGACGTTATCCATTCAGTTGGTGAATGATCATAAATATCGGTGTTATCTCATAAAGGAGGGAACGTTCCACATTGTCCGTCTGCATGATCAAGACAAAGTAAACTAATGACTACTTTCGTATTGATCATAACACCTGTAACAATGTCCGCATCACCAAGAAACTCCAGGGGCAGTTAAACAACTTACGATAACTAAATGGCCAAGATGTATAGTGTATGTATCAGGCACACTAGCAGAGAAATAGAAACATGCATTACCTAGCACCCGAAGTAGCGAATATATATGCTTAATGTAATAAATAAGCATTTTCAGTATTAACTTTGCGAATAAACTTCCATATCAACAAAAAATATTTATCCAAAGAACTACAAGTTTGAAGACGATGATTGACCTTGGGCAATAAACCTTGAAAGAAAACCTTTCTATCTACAACTAGGAGATGCTTTGGACCAACAAATGCGAAATAGCCAAGTTTCCATCTCTGAACTAGAATTCCAATCCCCGAAGCATAAAAGAAGGTAGATCAAGGTGAGAACCTTAACAGGAAGCTCATCTATAGGAAAATTGAACTCCTCACCCCACATGGGATTTCTTGAACCAGGGATCATGGAACTGTAACAAACGCATGGTTACATTAGACAATCAAAGTTACAGCAAATTAAACAAATAAACCAAAAAGTATTTCCTTTTATGGACGGGGCAAGAAGAAGATTTGGAAACTGTAGGGACAATGTAAAAGAGCAGGAAAAGATATCTGATAAAGTACTATTTTAGATTATAAGCTACTCACATGCTCCTTAGAAAAGGTATACATCTAAAACTTAATGGAAAAAGATGAACAACCTGAATCGCTTTTCTGAACCACAAGTTATAATAGCATAGGGATCTGATGTTCCATTTAAGTTTGCACCAATAAGATTCTTAGCTGCAAGCAGTTCCACCTAGAGAAGTTGAAGGATCATAGGGATGGGCATCAACGCGAAGTTCCAAAACAGAAATTCAAGGCTTTTACACCAAACACTCTGAAAATATGGACCAAATCAATGGTGAAGCGATCAAAGTTACCTTGATTATGTATGCAGCATTTGTCTGATTGTCTCCTCGCAACTGCCCCATCTACAAAATAAGTGCAGACTGCACGTCAAAAATGGGAAATTACTCCATGAAACCAACAGCACTTTGGGACTACGCATGAGAACACAAGTGTGTTCTACACAATCGATATCAGACACACTTTATTGGTAAAAAAAGTTAATCAACGCTGCCCAAAATCAAACATTTCAAATTCTCAGATTAATCATCTGTCAATTCAAACCAAAACCCGTGAACAAAAATAACCCGATTTGGCAAATTCACTTGAGCACCGTCAAACATTAGAGGATTCCTACCGCTTGAAAGGATAAAAGTACATAGGGGGAGGAGAAAATCAAAACCTTGTCTTTGTCAAACATGGCGTCACCGGAATTGGAATTCTCCAACCGATCAAAGCCCCCACCATCGGCTTCGTCATCTCCGCCTCTGTAAGCGAAGAACCAATACGCGGTGATCACGAACACCGAAGCAAACACCGCGACCTCAGCCTCCCACAACGACGGCAACAGAAACCCCACCGCCGTCTGCACCATCTCCGCCGCCGTCTCTTCCTCCTCCCCGCCAGAAAAAATTCTCAACCTCCGTAGAGAGATCACGCAGGCAAGGGATTGCTATTCTCCACAAGAAACCCCGAGAAAACAACCACCATTGTTGGAGAGAAAATTCGCCTTCTGGAAGGGAAAAGGAGAGTCAAAAAGACCATCGGGGGAGAGAAAGAACACGAAGAAACTGAGGAATTAGTCGTTCTGAGAAGTAAAAGACGAAAACACCCTTAAAACAAGTAAAAGCGAAGCGACAGAAAGTAGAGCGTTAGGCAGTGAGGTAATTGCGAGGGGAAGAGAAGGGTAGTTTGGGAAATTAGAATTTAGAACCAGTAACCGTAGACGTAGAGAGCCGTCGCTTGAGACTTTTTCCCGAAATGAAATGAGAGTTTAGCACGTGATTTTTCATGAAAGGCGAAGTCTTTTTCTTTTTCTTTTTGTTTGTATTCTTCTTATTTTAACGTTGATAACATCTCTATACCAAAAAAATAATAAATATACAAATTTATATACTAAAGTTTATGAAATGGCCAAGATATATAATTATCTAAGTTAAAATTGAGGATATGGATTTTTTGGTAGGTCACATAAGAATCAGACAATCTTCCTTTTACATGATTATTTATCGGTGGAAAATGTCTAATTAATCACAAGCCGCGTGGAAATAAAAGTACATAACTGTATCGTCTGTGAGCCAATAATCACAAGCCACGTGGTTATAAAGTATATAACTGTATCCTGTGTGAGCGCAACTTTCCCTCTCCGTATTTTTCTACTGCTTTTGTACGGTATATTTCCAGTCCAGGTATACCCATATTCTCCATCTTCCTTCGTGATGCACGAATCTCATATAATGAAGGAAAGAACAATAGCAGACGATTGGCCTTGAACTAGAACTCTCAAACACTGTTTGTCTTTTCTTCTTACTGCATTCCATTGGAGTGCCATGCAACATACATACATACATACATACATACATACATACATACATACATACATACATACATACATACATACATACATACATACATATATATATATATATATATATATATATATTAAAGCCAAATCCACAACATAAAATGTCATTTGAGATATGATCCAAGACCTGACACTTCTCAGAACAGAAACAGCATCAAAGGTGAAGAAACTCGAGAACTAAAAGTTTCCAAAGGGTGCAATCGATAGTCAAAGAGGAAGATACGCGCTTAGAAGAGGGATGTTCCCTTGCCCTTCTTGTCTCCTCCGATCTCAAAGTGCTTGCACCTCTGATTTAAGAAAAAAAGAGTCGATAAGATTCATACGTTAGAAGAGAAAAGCGGCCCGAAATGGGAAACCAGCCGTGGAAAAGCATGTACCTTGATTGGGTGCTGTGACACATGCTTGCAGCTCTGGCATTGAAGCCTTAGCACAATCTTCTTGGTTGTCTTCGCCTGTTTCAAGGGATTCACGATCAATGCTTGCAAACGTATAACAGATCTTCTTCACAGACCGAGAAAAAAGCACCAAGAACTATAGCAGGTTGAATCAATCCATGTTCTTGATAAGTCCAACAGATCCAACCAGTAGAAGATGCAGGGAGGAAAACAGAAACACAACAACACAATAACACATGAAACCGAACCCAAGACAAGCCCAAAGAAAACCCCCCAACAGACCAAACTATCCAAATTCCCACAAAAAACCGGACAGCAAAGCTGCAGGGTCAAACCTTAGGAGCATTTGAGTACTTCTAATTCAAGAAATTCTCCAGAGAATAAATTTTTTTACCTTCTTGTGGAAGACGGGCTTGGTCTGACCACCATAACCAGATTGCTTACGGTCGTAACGACGCTTTCCCTGAGCAGCAAGACTGTCTTTGCCCTTCTTGTACTGTGTCACCTTGTGCAAGGTGTGCTTCTTGCACTCCTTGTTCTTGCAGTATGTCTTCTTCGTCTTCGGAACGTTCACCTACAGCAACCATGGAAGAAACAGTAATATGAATCCCCGATTATCACTACGTGAAGACGCAAATTCGGGTTACTAAACCAGTAACCCGCTAATTGAATTAGCTCAATCAGGCCTCAGTCTAATACATTTTCTGGGAAAAGGACTTCTCTTTTGTCGGAATCCAAACATATACTAGATCGATAGTGGGAACGCACAGCAACCTGATACTCTAATCGGTACAAATCGCATAAACTACACCAATACAACCGACAAGAAGCATAAAACTTTTCCCAGCTCTACTGATTTTCCCAGAATCAACCAAAAGAATCCGTAAAGACATTATAAATAACAACGAAATCACAGAAAAATTGCCGAGGAAGCTACCATTTCCTCTCTTCTTCTCCCTTCCTTCCCGCAGGGGCTTCGGCTGCTCTCGGCTCTGCTCTGCCTCTCTTCCGGAATTAGGGTTTCAAACCACTAGTAATTCGTCATCCGATTCCCAATTTATCCTCAAGAATTCGTGAATTTACGAATTTACCCATGGGCTTACTCTCTATTTCCAGGCCCAATAAGTATCTCTTGGACTTCTATGTAGCCCATTAAATAAATAAATCAGCATCTTACAAAACAAAATGCTCTTAAAATAATGTTGTCCCGATATACATACATATATACAATATATATATACATGTATGTGTATATAATAAGACAATGCAAGTGCACATGTTGTCTCCATCTACTTTCATCTTTCTTTCTTCTTTCTCTCCAACCATTTTATCCGTCTATCTACACACACATATGCACACTCCAACTTTTTTCATGCATTTTTTCACGCCCAAAAGGTTCATTTTTATTTGCTGAATTCAATTTTCATGAACATGAACTGTCTTCCATTACTAAATAATTTGATTTAAAAAATTTAAGTTAAGGAAAATATAATAATGAGAGAGATGGTAACAAAACCTAATAACAACACAAGTTCTAGATACTTTTATCATAAAACTTCAAATTTTTTGTTAGAAAAATTAATACACATAAATTCAAATTTTATTTTTGTGAAATGGATATATTCGATATAAATAAATAAAAAATGATGACAAGGGCTTTATAACATAAATAATAATTTGCCAAGTATTTCGCCATTTGGCGTTTTTTCCTTTTTTTTCCCCTTCTAATTTCGTCTCTGTCTCTCTCCTTCCCTCTTCGCTGTATTTCATACGCACTCTCTTTCTGTGGAGGAAACTGAACCTCTAAAAAGCCGAACCCCAGCGAAGAAGACGAAGCCGAGAAAATGGCTCTCAAGCTTAACCCTTTCGTCTCTCATCCCTACAAATTCCCTCCTTCTGCTCTTCCGCCAGTGGCGAGCTTCAGATCTCCCAGGTTCCTCTGCCTTGCTTCCTCTTCTCCGGCTCTCAGCTCCGGCGCCAAGTCAGTCCATTTTTCTGTACTCCTTTCGATTTCTGCTTAAATATTTTTCCGGTTTTGCTTTCTGGGTCGTGCTTGTTTTTCGATTTTGGATCTGGGTTTTCGATATTGTTTCGATTTGTGGACTTACATTTCTTGCATCTCGAATGCGATTGTGATGGATTTGCTTCCTGGGTTTTATAATGATCGTCGATGGTTCAGTGTCTGTCTTCTTTTCCTGTTTCAGGAGATTATTCATGTGCTGATTTAATGCGATATTTATTGCTTCTGTTCTGAAGATGTCTGGCTTCGAGGGAATATTCTAGATTCATCCATTTTGCCCTGAAACTCGATGTTTTCTTACTGCTACCATTTTCAGATCAATTGAACTGCAGATTTAAGGAAAGCCGATGAAATTAGTAAAAAAAATTAATGGATTATTATCTCAGTCATACGAAAGACGATCATGTCTCAATGCTCGCTTGTCGTTTATTAATTCCTCTGTTCTTTCCTGTTATCGTCTTCTTTTGGCCTTTAGATCACTATTACATGTTAAAGTCTTAAAGAAATGCTATGCATCTAAGCTTCTTCCAAAACCTCGAACTTGACGACATTCTTCCTGCGATTCTCTCTCTAACAATTCCAATCGATACAGAAGATATACGAATTGCTTGAATTTTGCAGGAGTTGGCAATTTGCTGTTGTAATTTTTTTTTGTTCATGCACTTCTGTTACATTTAATGGCCAAATGCATGTACACTTGTTGCTCCCTTTCCATTATCGTGATTAAATGCTTTTGTTTTTGCGTGAGAGATTCTTTAACGGCCTTTTACTTTATTTTTTTTTTGTTTCTTCTTCATGGCCATTGGTTTTGAGCTCGAACGTAGAGGCTTTCTTGAACAGACATCTTGTGTCCATGCATGTGTGGAACGTGTCCACAGATTCTATACTTTGACAACCTTGCTGTTTGGAAGTATCATATAATTTCTTCAACATTTTCCCTTTTGTCTTATTGTTGTCTGATCAGTGTAATGATTACATGTTTTTCCAGTTGTCTTTTATCTGTTGTTGTCTGTTGTTCTTCCGCTGCCTCGTAAGCTGTCTTTGTGCTTCACATTGCAAGTGGATGTTTTCCATGTCATTGATTCATGGGTAAATAAGCAAGATTGGCCGCTGTATTTAGACCAAATTGCATCTTTCTCGGTGGAAAATTGCCAAACTTCAGTTATTAGGGGAAACATGTAAATGGCATCCAACGAATTTTATCTTTACATATTGCTCTAGCTCTGGGTGTTGTCTATGAAAATGCTATCATCACATATGGTTTTTGTTTCATATATGCTGGAGAAACACAAATGCATACCACATTTCTGTGGAAGATGACTACATTCTGATGATTCTTTGCTTAATGCAGGGAAGTTGAGAATGCCAAGAAGCCTTTTACGCCGCCTAGGGAAGTGCACGTTCAAGTCACCCACTCAATGCCGCCCCAAAAGATCGAGATCTTTAAATCTCTGGAGGATTGGGCTGAGGAGAACATTCTGGTTCACCTTAAGCAGGTCGAGAAGTGTTGGCAACCCCAGGATTTTCTGCCCGACCCTGCATCCGACGGGTTTGAAGAACAGGTAAGAGAGCTAAGAGAGAGAGCAAAAGAAATCCCGGACGACTACTTTGTTGTCTTGGTCGGAGACATGATCACGGAAGAAGCACTACCGACCTATCAGACGATGCTGAACACTTTGGACGGAGTGAGGGATGAAACAGGGGCTAGCCCTACTTCCTGGGCCATCTGGACAAGGGCATGGACTGCTGAAGAGAACAGACATGGGGATCTTCTGAATAAGTACCTCTACTTATCCGGGCGAGTTGACATGAGGCAGATTGAGAAGACAATTCAGTACCTGATTGGCTCTGGAATGGTGAGGCAGTTCTTGCATATAGTCCACTTCATATTTCTTTCATTTCGTTATCCATACGCACTTTTCTGTTGCTATAATCTTTTTCATTTTGCTTATTTAGGATCCTCGGACAGAAAACAACCCTTATCTTGGCTTCATCTACACTTCATTCCAAGAAAGAGCAACCTTCATCTCCCATGGAAACACCGCCCGCCAGGCCAAAGACCATGGGGACATCAAATTGGCACAAATATGTGGCACAATCGCAGCAGACGAGAAGCGTCATGAAACTGCTTACACCAAGATCGTTGAGAAACTCTTCGAGATCGATCCTGATGGTACCGTCACGGCATTTGCAGACATGATGAAGAAGAAAATCTCGATGCCAGCCCACCTGATGTACGATGGGCGTGATGACAACCTCTTTGATCATTTCTCTGCCGTGGCTCAGAGGCTTGAGGTCTACACTGCCAAAGACTATGCCGACATACTGGAGTTTTTGGTAGGCAGGTGGAAGGTCGAGAATCTAACCGGGCTTTCAGCTGAAGGGCGCAAGGCTCAGGATTATGTTTGCGGGTTGCCACCAAGAATCAGGAAGTTGGAAGAGAGAGCTCAAGCGCGAGCCAAGAAAGGACCAAAGATCCCATTCAGCTGGATATATGACAGGGAAGTGCAGCTCTAAGACCGAACACAAGTAAAACCCCGCAATTCTCCTGCTTCCCTCGAGGATGTCGAGGTTCAAACAGGTTTTCTAGATCAGTTTTCGTCTGTGTCTGCTCACAGAATGGATGCAGATACAGTTTGTTTCTATTGTTTCTGTGGGTCTCAGTTATGCAGTGGGAGAGGCAGCTGTAGTATCGTTTATCTGTGTTATTCAGTGTCTATTGTCCTTGTTAGTGTGATATAACCAGTTTTACTTGAGTTTTGTTTCAGTAGTTTTGTCTCAAGCAGCTACTGTCTTTTTTTTTTCAGTGTAGTCAAACCATGGCATTGGCAATTTTGATTGATAGTCTATTGATCTCATGGTTAATAGATAGTTGAATTGTTGTATAATCACCATATTAAATGAACTTTGCCATGAACCCATGTCATTTAACTTTGTCTGTACGACATCGTCGTTACAGTTCGAAGTTTTGTCTCTAGCAAATTGGAAAAAAAAAGTAGTAGCTGCAAAAAACACGTCCTGCTATTGCCAACTGTGAATATGCTTTGCCCTAAACAGCATAAAAATTCTTCAAAACTGTGATGTAAAATCAAATCAAATGAAAATATGAAGTAGAAATTCCATTACAGATTTCACCAACGTTTCCTCTCAAATAAGTAAAATCCCAGGAGTCCAAGATCCATGAATCTTTTTGTAATCAAACGAATGCCTTCACTGCAGCAGAAACTTAGATCTTTTGTACAACAGTTGCAATCTATGGACACATGTTCTTGGAAGAAACTAGAAAGAACAGAGTTCTGGGTCAAAAGGAACAGCTTGACAGCAGAGACGTTGGGTCAAAAGCAACAGAGGCACAAAAGGAGGAATCATGATTATCATCATGCTTTTTATTTATGCTTAACTAAGGAGCAAGCAAGAGGAATTCCGGTTCATATAAAAAACATGAAATGTGTTTGAACAACTTCTCTACGGAAATCCAACAGAAACAAGGAAATTTCTCTATTCCATATGAAGAAACGAACCAAATTCAAGTAACAGACAACTTCAGGATCTAAATAAACAAAGAGTCTCGTGTCGGGTACCTTCCACGATCCCTCACTCAAGCCTTGGATGGTAAATTGGAAGCATTATCCACTCGTTTTTGCTCTTCAAACTTGTCGATGGCCACCTGAAGCTCGTCTGTGCCCCCGACAGCTCTCATGGTGTAGAAGTACACCCCAAATACAAAGGCGGACAAGCCTCCCGCCACCACAAGATTCTTGATTTTAGGAGCAAGGCTGTTAAAACCTGAAAATCCAGCCATCGTTCCAAGTCTTTTAACCTGCAGGAGCTAACAAAGAGAAACTTATAAAGAAGATACCCCATACGGAGCACCGGTGGCTGCAAGAGTAGTAATACATAATCAACCGAGAAAGTAACATGTCAGGCAAGATTCAAGTGATAGTCCATAGGAGTAACCCAGTTAGAACTGAGCGAGTTCTGGGCTGAAATTTAGGATCAAAGTAGCTTTTGCAACATCAGGGTAAGGGAATAAGAATCTCAATCACTTCCACCAGAAAAAACTTGCTCTCCAGTAATCAATCATACATGGGAACAAGAGCTACCAACATCGGTTGGTGCAATTTATGCACCTCGATAGCTTCCCACGTCTACATTAGAACAAAGAGCCATGGCCGAAACAAAGGAAACCTCAACCTAATCAGTGTACCCACACACAAATTGAAGGAACAATTTTGTTTTCCACAAGTCATGGCGCAAGATCAGCGATGGGGGCTCCCAATTCCAAGTCAACAATCGATCAACTAACAGTAACGCGAAACCCTAAGATTAAAACAACCAAAGCTAAAAAACTTTGCCCTTTATTCACCGCTAGGAACGGAAAACGAACAATACGAAAAGATTCGTCCTTTTTTCCTGTAATTTCGAAGTAAGCACGATAAACAAGAAATTACAAAAGAAATTGAACGAAACCTGTTGGTGTTCGATCAAATCTTGCTCGAGCGGATTAAAACCCTTAAAACCCACACGAACTTCAGATGCTGAAGTTCTTCTCCCAAATCTGTGCCGGACGCTCAACTGAAAAAAAAAAACACCTGTATATAGGCCCCGATTGGTTACGGGCCCATATAGCTTTCACCGAAAATCAATATTTAAATGGGCTCAACGACAAGGCCCATTTACAGGCTCATGAACATCAATATTCTATGCAGTTTTACTTGGAGCAGGCAATGGAAATACTATTTACACATCCAATGTTAAACATTTCGATTGGTTAGTTTCACGTAAAACATAGGTTTTACAAGGTAAATTGCTAGTAAACAAACACTACTAAAAATACCCACAATCGCAATCGCAATCGCTATCGCAAACGCTGTATTTGAGCGTCATTACGCAACCAATCACCCATATAACAAGGATTTTTATTCAAATGCTTTATTGGGATGCAAACATCAATTACAAAATGAACAGTAGAAGAGGAGATTTGGAGAGGAAGAACAAGCCAGAAGGGGCGGAGGGAAGTTCATGGCTCAGGCTGCATTTTCTCGCATTCTTCTCTGATAGACTGGAAAAGAGGCGTCGAGAGGTAACGTTCCCCAAAGCTTGGGAACACGACCTGAAACCAAAAACCAGATTCAGAAGAATCCTCACAGACAGGACGATGTCACTTGAAAGATTTATTAATATAAATCCAGAAACAAAAGGGCTAAAAGAGACTGAATGCCCATGGAAATGGAACCCTAGTACTTAGAAGGTGTAAATAGTCCATGATTCCCAACGATACCATTGGGATAGCATTGAAAAATAAGCTAAAAAAACTCCCTTCTTGCTGTTTCTCGATGTGGTCATGGATCTAGGACTAGGGTTTGGCAGAAGCAAAGAAGTCGAGGCCGAGGTCAAGGTCAATTACATAGGGAATCTTCCATTAGTTGCAAGACTATGAGTGCCTTATCATTATTACAAGTTTTTTTTTTTTAAGGTTTAGGGTTCTATGCAATGGGCTCGGATTGGACACAGAAGGAATAGATCATTGTATTGACAACACTTAAACAGAAACAAAAGGACTTACAGCTACGAGTTTCCCAGCATTCTCCGGTCTCTTTGCAACCTTGACAGCAGCAGCAGCCGCAGCTCCCGAAGATATACCGACCTAACAAAATTTGTAAAATACTATGAGCTTAACGGCAGCAGCAGCCGAAGCTTATACAATTGCTCATGAAACAGTCTTAGTTTCATTTTACGGTTGCTGATAAAAAAAATTCCTCATATTTGTGCATCTACTGTTTTCGTAAAAAAGATTTGTTGATGTTATGTTAGGCTAGAAAAGACTAACCAATAAGCCTTCTTGCAGAGCTACTTGCTTTGCGGTTTCAATAGCTTCTTCACTGGATATCTGGTAAGAAACAACAAGGATGTAAGAAATAACATGATGACAATGGAAACATGAAAGTTTGAATCTCAGGAATCATGTCTTTTACGACTCCTCTAAAATGCTTTATAAGAATGGAGTCCCAAATCTGAAGCTGCTTGCATATACATCAAGAGGTAAATTGGAAATAACATTCAACATTATGAAAAGTAAATAACAAATAACTCGCGGGAATGGAACAAGGGACTCTATAACCATAAAGAGAAACCAGCAAACAGGTCATACCGTTATGACTTCATCCATAATATTCAGATCCAAATTCTTAGGTACAAATCCTGCTCCTATTCCTTGAATCTTGTGAGGTCCTGCAATTTCAAAGGTGATACAAATAAATACAAGATTATAGAATACTATTTTTATATTTGTGATGCCCGGAGGCAAAACTACTGAAAGTTTTGTCTTTTTGTCGCCTTACCAGGTTTTCCACCAGAAAGTATGTCGCTTTCTGTAGGTTCTACACCAATAACCTGACACATACCAACACCACATACTGAAACATAAATTTTACAGCTGCAATATGAATTATGAACACCATCTCGAAATGAAGCATTCAGATATGAAGACTATTTAACATTTGCAGATAAACAACAGATGAAAATTGAATGTTTTGTTCTTCACCTTCACTCCAGGTTTTCTCTCTTTGATGTATCGGCCGACACCGCTGATTGTTCCACCAGTTCCAATTCCCGCAACAAATATATCTACCTTGCCTCTAGTATCTTCCCAAATCTCAGGACCAGTGGTCTCGTAATGAATCTGCATATTATTTATATTTTAGCACAAACAGATGACAGCAGTTGGGAATCTCACAGAAGGCCAGTTCACCCAAACTCATGCTACAAGTGAAAAACGAAAGTGGTTATTCTATGGAAAGAATTGCAGGAGAGATTCAGAATGTTCTCAAATTTAATATTTCACTTATCTCCTCTGACGTGCAGGAGTAGAGCTAAAACTAATTAACTTTCATGAAACAGGTTGTGTCAGGGAAAGAATCAAACACAAACCTTTGGATTAGCAGGATTGTCAAACTGTTGAAGCATGTAGGCATTGGGAGTGCTTTTCAAGATCTGTTCAGCTTTCTGAATTGCTCCAGTCATGCCTTTAGCAGGATCTGTTAATACAAGCTCTGCTCCAAATGCCTTTAGAAGAACCCTTCTCTCCAAACTCATGGATGCTGGCATTGTCAAGATAAGTTTATAGCCCTTTGCAGCAGCAATAAACGCAAGGGCGATGCCTGTGTTTCCACTAGTGGGTTCCACAAGAACACTCTAGATACATACAGTGAGCAAATGGAGTCAGAGGGGTGATATATATGCATGGTGAATTAACCAAGAACAAGTGACTTTACATGGTTGCATACAATGGAGAAAAACTAAAGCAAAAAAAAAAACATGAAGAAGTAAAAGTATTTAGGGTTCGACTAGTTGTACCGCAGCGGTTGCGGTTGCGGGTGACAGCGTTTTCAAAACGTTTGATAGCGATTATAAATGATTAGTACTGATTGGCTGATAAACTGCTATTGGTAGCGATTACGGGTGGATGCAGTTAGAAGTGGATGGTTCATTACGGTTGCGGTTGCGTTTTGATATAAATTGTCAAAAAAAATATTATTTTAAAATAATTTTTTATAATAGTTTTAATTAAATTTTTAATATCATTTGATAAAAATTATTTACTAAATTTATAATAATTAAATAATAAATTTAAAATATAAATAATATCAATTTAGTTTATTTTTAAGTAAAAAAAATAATTTTATTATAAAATTTATTAAAAATAATCATTATTAAACCTAAAAATTATACTATTGTATTTTTTTATTAAAATATAATACTAAAAAATAATATCAAAACATAACACTAAACAAAATCATCACCATCCCTCGATATTTTGTTTCTGTCGTCATCTATGGCGGATGGATACTGGAATCAGCAGCGACAGAAGCAGCATCCTCCGCCTATTATTCCTCCCGGTGGGCGTCTGAAACGTCCCCGTTCTGGGTTCGGTAAGACGGTTTCCCTTCTTCCACCATGATTTACATTTGAGCCTCAAGGAGCTCTCTTTGACGTTTTCGTTGAATTTCAGCATGGAATTTTTTGCTGGGTTTGTCGGATTTATGCGTTTTTGCTTATAGGTTAAGTGTCGGAAACTGGGTTTTTGTTGCCTCGAGACGTGATGAGTGGTAGATTGGTAATGGGCATGAATGTGCAGATGGATTATGATTCAGTATGAACGCTAAATCAATTCCGTTGGGTTTAATGGATGAGTGGTATTCTGGTATATATATGAACTGCTTCTTGTCAGATTTTGTGCAACCATTTCTCACTAGGGCTCATAGTTTGGGGGCTTTGATTCAAGTAAATTTCCTCAGAGTGTGCAAGTGTTTACATGGTTTGTGAATCCATCCTGCTGTATGGATACTGTAATACAGCTCAAGATATCAGTTATTAACGGCGTAATACAACTCTAGAGTTCAGCTTCTGAACTCACTTTGATTTTTCGGGCGAAGAAATTCAAAGGCTTTATTACGTTCCTATATGTATGCGTGTATGGAAAAACATTGTGAAATGAAAGCATGAAAAGTGAATTCCATTGTTTTTCTCTTTGCAGAAACTCCAGGTTCTGCAATACCTTCAGGCCGTGAAATCCACAATTATTTGCCACGGGATGAGGATCATCTTAGCTTTCAATCAGTCAAGGATAGCAATACTATTGGGTCAGCTTATGACCGCTACCTGCAGAGCATGGTACTCAGTCATCTCGTTTTCTCGGCTCCTCTTGTATGTTTTCTATTGATTTCCTTTCTTGGCTGAAAATTTTTCGTGACTTCATTCGAAGCAAATGCCTTCTGTGCCATCTGGAGAAGCTGGCCCTTTCAATGGAGTTGGTATGGGAATACCAGGAAGAGGTAACACAGTGACTGACCCATCCATGGGCGAGCCTACGATGGGGCAATTCAATGGAGTTGTTAGGTCTAGCCACGATATACTTCCTCTACCTCCCGATGCTTCCAACACTCTGTATGTTGAAGGTCTGCCTTCTAATTGCTCACGGAGGGAAGTAGCTCGTATCCTCTCTATTGGGTCATGGCAGAAAATCTATGCCGATATTTCGTTCTCTAACTTAAACAGAAGTTTCGGAGTTCACAGTCCTTAACCTAGTTCCAGATATATTTCGACCTTTTGTGGGATACAAAGAAGTGAGGCTTGTGACCAAAGAATCTAAACTTGTAAGTTTTTACGAGTTCCTGAATCAGGCATTCTTGAAATTATTTTACACCCGAATCTCATCATATCTGAGTTTTGACATACTAAAGGGTTTTATATTGTACGCAATGCAGCGGAACGGAGATCCTGTTGTTCTTTGTTTTGTTGATTTTATAAATCCCGCCTGTGCAGCAACTGCTTTGAGTGCCTTGCGAGGTGATTTTGCCTATCTAAAGATGTCGACTTTTACGCGATTTCTGAACGAAAGTTCATTACTTTATTATCAAGAAATTGCTAACGACAATAACTGAGCTATTGAGCTTGTTTTTTTTCACGTTTATAGATCTGAGACAGGACCTCTAAGGATTATGTGCATAATGTTCATCAATCTTTCTGCTTCTACGAAGAATCACTGTTCCCTCACCCAATTTGCGTGCCCTCGAACTTTGCTGACGGGTATCTTGCCTTGCACAGGTTACCGGATGGATGAAACGGATCCAGAATCCAAGTTCTTGCGGCTCCAATTCTCGAGGAAGCCAGGTCCAAGACCTGGAGCACGCGGTAGGAGCTGAACCCGCAAACCCTCTTGGGACTCCACCAGATGGTAAGGAAAAAAAACCGGCTTCCTTCAAGGATCTCGAGATATGCTTCCTCATTCGATGGAGTTCCCCGGAAAAGAGCAAGGGAGAATGCTCAAGAGAATCCACAATGTGAGTGAGGTGATAAAATCTAACTCTTCTGTCCTGGAAATGGTGTAATCTGTATTTTCCAAATTTCATGAGCTTCTTGTGTCATAGAAATACCACCGAGACGAAAATTTCAAAATCTTTCCCTTTTGTTTTTTTGAAGGAAATATACTCAATCGACATACTCCCTCCCTTGTCATTTTGGTGGTGGGGAATGGAATTTGTCTATACGTCTTTATATGAATATCGTTTTAAGCCACCCCAAGTTTGTATATGGTTTGGTTTTATATAAAGATGGTTTTTTTGGATTTATAAAATTTTATCTGTTCCGTTTTTATATTGGAATCGGTATTTTTGGGTTTATGTTCGGGTTTGATTTTACTGATTAAATTTTTCAGAACAATTTTTGGATTTTCGGTTATTTTATATCGGTTTAGATTTGGTTTTATAGCTTTAAAAAAATTCGTATTTATTTTATTCGATTTTTGTGTTAAATTTGATTGGAATATGATGATCATATTCAGTTGATAAGCAATTCCCACATATGTGTATATAATATATATATATATATAAATGGCCAGTCGTTATATGAGTAGGGGTGGTGTCCTCAATTAACGAGCTTTATAATTGCTTTCCCCAAATTCCTTTCTTTTTCTTTTTTGAATACTTTAGTCCTTTCTTTCTTTTCTTTCTCAAAAAAAAAAAAATTGAAATGTTACCTAATTGAATTCTTGTTTTCTTTTTTTTGGGTAATCGGGTTTTCTGGCTGAGATCCAAATTAATTCCGAGGCCGAGAGCTAGCCATGTGATTTGAATTATACACTCTCTCTCCAGCCTGGGGTTTGAACTCGGGACGGAACATACGTTTTGCGCCACCATTTCACCGATTATTTTCTACATGTTATTTCTCCCTAAAGGTTATAGTATAATTATAATGAACATAACTACGTAGGGGGGGGGGAATGTGCATTTTTTTTTTATTCGATCTCTTAAACTTTCAATTTTGATATTCGAATTTGCTACGTGTTGTGACTTGGTACAGAACGATCACAAAACGAAATCGTTTTGGTCTATCCCAATTATAGAAGGGCCAAAGTATAATCTCACCCATTTACGAAGTTTAGACGTTATATATTATAATATTAAATCTACAAATTATGTGTATGGAAGATGTGGGTTTAAAAAATTGTTACTAAAACGCGAAAATTTGCATAGTTCGTATTAGTTTTGAGGTTTCCAAAGTAGAAATAAACTGATTATTCTAGGTAATAATTTTAATTAATAATAATAATAATAATAATAAATGGATGAAGATTGATAATGTTTGGCATATTCAAAAGCAGATTCTTTTCTCCGCGTCGACTTTTCTTTCACTTAAGAAAACGAATCTTCCATCAAATCTACGAGCAAAGACATGATTTGGTTGTGTAATAAGCCCATCATATTTTCTTTTACTTATATATATATTTATTTAACTATTTTCTTCTTATTTTTTTCCTTCATAAATTTAACCTCGGTTCGTATACTTTAGGATAAAATGTATGATAAATACTTCTTGGTTGCGGTTCACTAATTTATTCCCATTGTTATCCATTTATTGTTAAAATTGTTAACAAAATAAATTATATATTAATATATATAATATTACCCCCACAAAAGATAATGCTCTAGCCTCTTCATTGACTCGTTGTTTTAATCATAGAATCATGGAGGATGAAATTATACCGCAATATAGGACAAGTAAATTAATTATTTTTACCAGAAAATTTCCATGTCGGTGAATAACATATTTCTTTAAAAATCTAATGATTAGTTTTGGTGAACAAAAAATCGAATCGATTTTTATATATTTTTTAATGAATGAGGAAAAGGAGACGTATTGGTTAACGAATTTTATTTTAACAACAACTAGAATATTAAATAAAATGGATCGAGATCTAACTCTACCTAATAGATATTATATTTTGGCAAAGTTCCAAGATGTCACACTGGAAAATAATCATCTCACCTAATTCTTCCATATTTTCTTGGTTTTTTTTTAAGCATTTTCTGATCAAACAAAGACTTCTGAATTATAATTGTTTTACGCTACCGGTTGACGCCATGTCCTACAAAAGAGACAAAACAGAACGAACAAAACAAATGCAGATTCTAT